CAAACAAACAATGAAATTAAGTGGTTGCCATTTTTACCAATTTTTTTGCGGTGAAAACGGTCGATCGCCATGGGAATTTGGCCCTCACGAAGGTCATATCACTGGCCGACTTTGGGTCATGGACCGTGATGGACCAACACTTTTAGGCTGGGCAATTATCCAAATACCTAATTTAAAGTTTTTTTTCTCCTCTAAGATGGTGGTTTTCTTAACTATTTGTCACTTTTATCTATGTGGCATGCCAACATGACAAACAAGGATAGAAAATAATGTGGGACCCAGTAGTTAGCCTCACATCCCTTTCATTTCCCCTCCAGCCCATAGATGGCGACGGTGAGCACCTTGGCGCCGGGGTTGTGGTCCTAGAGGCCCACCACCTTGTAGACGGAGGCGGCGATGACCTGGGCGTGGTAGACACGACGATGCGGATGGAAGCAGAGGAATTCTTGGTGGCGAGGCAGACGTGGCAAGCGTCCAGCTTGGGCTCGCACTCCCTGCAGAGGCAACGGTGGTGACATGGGAGAAGCAACACAGTGGCATCGCCCTCGCCACACGACTTGCACAACCACTTTGACACTGCTAGCGAGGTAGCGACGGTGTCAACGGGCACCACCGCGGCGCATGCCTTCATCTCGAAGCAACAGGACTGGCCGTCGTTGGCCGCGGTGGCGAGGGGGTCAGAGTCACCGAGAAGCCCTCGACACTACTGGAGACCGGAAGGCTCCCGTGTGCTCAAAACCTACGGTAACAGGCCAAAAACACACGGTAACGACGTTACCGGGTGCTAGTGCACGGGAACATATACTCGGAGGCTTCATCAGTTTACCGTGCGCACTTCCCGGGTGTTTTACGATTATGCGCACGGGAAGGCCAAAACACATACCGAGTGTGCTGAATCACACGGTAAGGCTGCCGTCATAGCTGGACTCTTGTGTAACGGAGCTCCTAACGGAACGGTGGCTTACCGAGTGTCCTTCACACACGGTAACATTTGGTGTGTTACCGTGATTCATTCACACCTGGTAACATGTGGTGCGTTACCGTGTTTGAAGCACCCGCTATGAGAACATGTGTTAATAAAAAAAAATATATGCTATTTGCAATTTGTTTACTATATCCATCAGAGCTTATTTCCATCACAATATAAACCACCAACAAGCACACAAGAGCACAACACATTCCAACATAAATATATATTTCAGTAAAGAGGTTACAATTAATAATTAGCATACAAGCAATTCATGGTTCATGTCAGTTAAAGCAATAGCCAAAGTTACAATAGCTAGGAACATATTATTTGGTTGATGCAAGGGGGGTGGCGGCGGTTCGGTGGAGAACCAGAGTGGGTCAGAGGTGGCTTGCTAGGGTTGAAGTGTTCTATATATAGCCATATCTGTTGATGAATCTAAGCCGTCCGATTTAAATCCATTCGACCACAGTTTACAAGCAGTTTTGCTTGGAAAAATAATACTATTCACACGATTTCTGTACAAATCCCTTTAATGAGAACTTAAATATTCAAATTATATATAATTGTTATTAAAACTTAGTTTGTTTGCAATTGTTCCAAACAATATCATGTGTTTGTATATTAACAGAGTGGGTAATAACACTACTTGTTTATGTGCACCGCTTGAAGTCACACCGAGAACAACACACAGGTGGGAAATCCTAATTATAACCTACTCAATTAATCTCATCCAAAACGATATGTGGTTTTGTGTTCGTATTTATACTCATCTGTGTCCCTATCCAAGTAGAACATGGGAATCAAGCCAGGATATGGTTCATCTAGTTCTGTTGGTCTTGACTAGCTAGTGCGATCACAACTGACGTTGCCTTTCTATTTAAAAGATAATAATACCTTTCTTGCACTTTTAACCATCCGGCTCTCTTCTCAATCATTTGAGCCATCTTGGGTACTGTGACATCCTAGCCCAATTAGGATTTGGCCTATGTGGCTCCTGTGAGCTGTGTGCGCATGTTTAGTATCACCTTACTAGTTTAGCACGAGTTGAACCAATTTACAAGGCATCTTCCCTCCAACCATGCCACTTCCGGGTTAACCCTTTTATACGAAGCGATGAAGAAATATAAGTCGAGTGGTGTGTGTAAGTGGGTCCGCCCGTCGGATGGGCTGGGCTACGCGGTTCTGAAGGGAGGGCTATTACAGGTACATTATCTCCTACTTGTCTATGAACTCTTGACGGCGACAATGACAAGCGGTGATGGACCGCAACGATGAAAATTATCGAGTTTTTTTTTTGGATTTTTATTTTTGCATCCATCCACACACAAAAATCTGATTTTGGCATGCAGATGCGCCACCCATGTGGAAAGAACTCTTGACGGCGACAATGACAAGCGGTGATGGACCGCAACGATGACCTAGCTAGGGTTTTCGAGTTTTTTTTTGGATTTTTATTTTTGCGTCCATCCACACACAAAAATCTGATTTTGGCATGCAGGTGCGCTACCCATGTGGAAAGCGATTTTCACATACACTTTTGGGCAAATGGACGGCTCAACCACACGAAAAAAAGGTTTTGGAATATATGGAAAATGCCTTTTAGTAGTGGGTAAGATTAACCAATCCAAAATAAAAATATTGGTTAAAAGGATGATCCAAAGAGAAAACATCGGTAATAAAAGTTAGCGTAAAGTGAAATTCAATCTAATAATAATAAATCAAAATTAGTTGTATTATGTGAATTTTATCGTCTACTATATTGGGAGTGTCTAGATTGTAGCACACGTCATGCCAAATTTATTTTCACAATTTTCCTCATTTTCTATACTTTTACAACTTTTATGTGTTTTTTAGATTTTATAATATTTTCCTGCAATTTTCAGTTATCCGTAAAAATATTGTGTACAGTGAGTTGTGAATTATAGATACCCTATTATTGCGAGTTGTATTGTCTACTACTCTACTATCTTTGAGAGTGTCGATATAAATAATTTTCCCTTACATTTTACAATTTTCATGCATTTTTTTATACTTTTTAAACTTTTCTTTTAATTTGAAATTGTTAGACATTCCCGTATGTCAAAACGAAAAAACAGGCGGGAGGATTCCGCTCCGTTGCCGCCAACAAAATCATAGTGCGTGCCAACAAAATTCAAAGTTCGTGCCAACGGAGTGAAAACGGAAGTATGGAATTCAGTCATGTTACCGTGCTCCAGGTGGTCCCACACGGTAACTTCTCTGTTACCGGGTGTTTCGTGGTAGCGCACGATATTGTTGGGACGTTACCGTGTTCCTAGTCCTACACCCGGTAAGTTACTGGGTGTTTTGTTAAACCCACGGTAGCATCTGGTTGCACACGGGAACTTTCCCAGCTCCAGTAGTGCGACAGCTTGGGCGGGGGCGAGGCGGAGGAGATGGTTGAGCGTGCCGCAGAGGTCCGCCACGACGTCCCCGTTGCTACGGGTGAGCCCGCACCACGCCTGGCTCTCGGCGGTTTTGCTAAAAATTTGTCGACAAATTTTTTGTTAGAAATCTCCCAGATTTTCCACCGTCCAAATTGCATTATGATTTGTGCTATCTGTCCGTTACAACCAAAAAAAGGACTACCATAACCTCCGTGGGAGTCGATCCCATGATCTGATGCTTTGAACGTGAAATATTTTGCCAGCTGAGCAAGAAGGAGCAACTAATTGTTTCACCAAAACAATACTTACTTATTAGTTATACTGTATTAGTTATACTGTATGTACATATTAATTATATTATTAGTTACACTATAATTATATATATTAGTTACATTGTACTTACATATTAATTACATATTAGTCACACTATAATTACACTATAGTTACATTCGTAAGTACAGTGTAACTAGGGTGTAATTTTTTTAAAAGAAAGATTTTGGTGTAGTTACATTATAATTATACTGTAGTTACATTCATAAGTACAGTGTAATTAGGGTGTAATTTTAATTTTTTTAAAAGAAAGATTTTGGTGTAGTTACACTATAATTACACTATAGTTACAAGTGTAAGTATAGTGTAACTAGGGTGTAATTTTTTTTAAAAAAGCTTTTAGTGTAGTTACACTATAATTATGTATTAGTTACACTATACTTACATATTAGTTACTGTAATTACACTATAGTATAGTTACAAATGTAAGTATAGTGTAATTAGGGTGTAATTTTTTTAAAAAAAAAGCCTTTAGTATATGTGCTGACAAGTAGTTAGTTTTGTGGCTTGGATTAACACGCCTTAATCTACACTATACGCGTTGCTTTTTAATTTGGCTAGCAAGTTGGCCGTTTGGTGGTTAGAAAAATCTGTGTGATTTTATAACAAAAATCTGTCGGGTGTTATATAGATAGATCCGGCTCTCGGTGGTGGCCTGACAGAACCGCTCCTCCAGGCCTCCTTCAAGAGTAGGCTTGATTGATGAATAGGCCGAATACATGCACGCGAAGGAGAAGGGCCAAATTTAGTTATGGGCTGAATTCATTCAAGGAAATGATGTGGGCAAAGGAATATGTGCACTTTGACTCCCTTAACTAGTGGCCAAATCTAATTCGTGGGACTCAAAGTGGACTTAATTTCCGTGGGCAAATTCATTTTTGGCCCATTGAAAAAAGAATACTGCTATATGTACAACCCAATTATACAACTAGAAACATGCAACCATAAATCAATCAAAGGAAATCATGTTTATATCATTGTACCCATTTACAACCGTTGATCAAATTCAGTCGCAAGTGAGTTGGACAGTTGGGTCATATACATAGCAATTTCCTTGAAGGAATGGTCATCTTTATGTCTAATTTACTGAACGAACCTAATTAAGGTTGTGTCTTTTTTGTTCCTGACTCCTCTCTCGTTTTCCACACTTTTTTCAAACTGTTGAGCGGTTCCTTTTTTTTTTCAAAAAATTCCTATACGAAAGTTGCTTTAGAAAAATCATATTAATCCATTTATAAAATAAGTTAGCTAATACTTAATTAATCATGCGTTAATGTAACGTTCCACAAGATTAGTTCCCAGCACCAAGGAAAGAACGCAGGCTTAGCTCATTTACGGAGGCCTGTTTAGTGGTCCATTCACGACGGATTCGGCCCATTAGCTCCATAATAATGATTTCGATAAATGTGAATCTAAGACAAAATGTATACACTGCGATAACTATTGCGATAAAATCTAAGGTGATCATACTAACTTACCGCCTAACCTAACCAGGTAGCTATAGCTTGTCATGCAGATGCAGCGAAGCTTCTGTTGTACAACGATGAAGCTACAGATCGAAGACTTTTTCCATCGCCAGAACAGCATCATCCTCCAGCAAATTTGAATGGTACCTTCTGAAAATTCCCCAAATATCACCTCTTTCAAAAGTTTGAATCAGCTAGTTCTTCAGAAAGCTGCCATTGCTATTCCCATCTTCAGAAAGCTGCCTTTGCTAGTGAGTGGCCCTGGCCTTGGACGTGCCCAATAGGCTATTTACTGCGCACGCACACAGGCAATAAGATATCCGCGATGTTCAAATGGACTGAAAAATATGACACATTCCAAACATCCTTCATGGTTTCTGAAAGTTTAGTTACCATATGAGAGCAAAACATCGCATTTTACTCATTTTCCAAATAACCTTAATGCGAGGGCATAAACATCCTTCTTCTTTGCTGATGTAGCTTCACTCACCATTTTCACTGCCTACATTAGAAAAACATTATTTCAGAATTAAAGAAAATAAGATATGATTGTATGACCAGTACCTTGTGTGTATTTCTTAAAAACAAAAAACCATAGAACCGAAACATTGCTGAAGACTTGAAAGGCATCAAAAGCTAAGTTGAATGCACACCGCTGACAGAGGATGTCCCTGCGTCATCAATTCTCTGAGTTCATGCTCAAGGAAATCCTCAGATGGAGTTTCATCAGCTGAAATTAACTTTCCCTCTATGAGCACTGTAATTTCTCCCTTTGGCTGCCGAGTTGCAAAGGCTTCATTTGCTTCACCAATAGTTCCCCGCCAAAACTACAAGATGTATGTCAAATTCAGGACTACAAAGAGAAAATAAGTAAATACAAATATTTATGAGTCCACCATGTAGAATATAAGGGTACAGCTTGGTCTACAGATAATACACAAACAATTCAGTATAGCTGATTGGCATGAACAAGACCGCATATTAGTTTCTTAATTCAGAGTCAATACCAAGTAGAATCTGACCAGTAGCACTTCGCAGTAGGTTCAGCAATGTAAAGCTGGAAATGACAGCACTACAAGTTAAGAGTACCTGCTTATAGTGGGTGGGATATACCATCTGCTGTAACTACCAGCTGAAGTATATTTATTTTATTTGAAGAAACAGCTCTAGTATTTTATTGAAGATTGAAATATAAACAGAGTAAAAATTTGTTGATTACCTCTTCGTGTAATTTCGTTATCTCCCTTGCAATAACACATGACCTGAATATCAATACATAAACAAAAGAAAGATCAACAACGCATGCATAACACATTAGCACCACATACAAATGGGATGCAGCATAGAGTGCAGTATTTCAGTTGTTTATATAATACTACTACAAATTCCACAAAAAGAAATTCCAGATCATGCAATAAGCAATGATATACATGGGTGACAGAATATCAATTACCTAGAATCACCAAATGATGAAGCAGCATCAGAAAGAAATTGGTGAATTCCATGGGGAGGAACATAGAAAATTTGTGTGGCAGCTTGACAGGCAGATATTTCAAGCCTTTCTTTTCTTGATCGAGCATGCTTTGGTAAAAACCCCACTAGAAATGAAATATCAGAACTAACAACAAATATTGTTCATTGTTGATAAATAAAGTAAGTACATAATCATTTTATTACCAAATGTAAATTCATCAGTTGGCAAACCAGATGCAGAAAGAGCAGCTATTGCAGCAGACGGCCCAGGAATGGGGATAACAGGGATTCCCTCAGTAGCACATAGTCTAGCCTGTAAGCAACAGTACAACATGCTTAACATCTCACACATCTAGAAGCAGCATCGGGCTTTAAAAAGAACAGTCTCTGATGCTGTTACTGCTAACTTGAGTAGTGTCAACTAACTGATAGCACATGTAGAATGTGCTTCAATAATATTGTTATTTGCAGGGCATTTCACTATTAGACACTATTCATTGCCTATTTGTTTATTCATGGTTTAAGAGAGTAGCAGGATGTACTATTCAAACAGATTGGCAAGTATGAATGGTCAAAGGAGTGAAGTGATTTACCAGTTCCATGCCAGGATCACTAATTCCAGGAGTACCAGCATCACTAATCAATGCAACTGCTTCCCCTTCATGAAGTCTCTTTAAGATATTAGGCTCTCTTTCACGCTCATTAAACTTATGAAAGCTGAGCTGCAAGGTTTACAGTTTAGACTAAGTTCAATGGCACTCATCACACAACATGGTGCAAATGTGCAACTACTTGTGATTCATGAACAAAAACATTAGAATGCAGTTAACTCACAAGAGGTGTCTTGATGTTATAATGTTGAAGTAGCTTTCCAGAATGCCTTGTGTCTTCTGATAGTATGACATCAGCACATTTGAGGATACGCAATGCCCTGCAGCAAGGACCATCCAAGCTTAAAGCTAGGAGCATGTTTCAGGAAAGGAGCACACGCTCCAGTTACAGCCTATTACTACATGGAGGTAGCCTCAAGGTTCAGCCAAAACAACTATGTTTTGTTTTTCCTTTTTCTTCTTCTTTTTTTTTGTGCAGAACAGAAAGCATGCCCTCCCTGATATTTTCCTCATGGTAAAAAGTAAAGGGGATTGATAAAAAATAATAATAACTGATGCTAATTGTGCTATCAAACAATTAAAGTTTTTTTTTCTCCCTGTAGAGATTTTAGCAGAACATTGCTCTATTTCCTCTTTTATTCTAAAAGAAGTGCTGCTAATCAGCTGATTGCCTATTCACAAATTTTGTTAAGAGTTTACAACAATTGTATAATCAGACAAGTCCCAATACTTTCGCCTTTTCTTTTTAAGTAAAACGGCATACCACTGTCAGTTCTATTACCCTGGTATACCCTTATGAATCACTAGATATTATGACATAGACATCAAAATTCAGAAGATATTTCGTAGGCGTCAGCTTGATGACCAAGTGTTTTCCCACACAAAAATGTTTGCAGATTGACCCCATAACAGATTAAAAGCTGATACCTTAAGGTGATATCCTCGAGGTTCCCGATTGGCGTTGCCACAAGATACAGCCCGGAATCCAAATCCTGAAGATTGTAATAGATCAACAACAGACATCATGAAATAGTCATGGACAATCTAATTGACCAATATGTACATATTCCCCACAAAATACAGTACGAAAGCATTCTTGCGTTCTACTCCAGTTCTCCAGTTCATACAGAAGAGTAGAAGACACAAGCACCTGCATAAAAAGCAACATTCCGAACAACAGCTCTTATTTCACTTGAGAGCTGAGAAAGTTCCTCATGGTCCACAGGTACGAATTTATGCTTGCTCAAACATTAGAAGAACATCCGCTCGCAATTTGGCACATAGTAATGCATGAAAAACACACTTATCTTAACAATTGCTAAATGTCTCAATACTCATAAACCAAAATTACACCTTCCACATCACCTATGATTTTAGTTCTACGGCCCAAACCAATGCGTTGTTCTGAAAATACCAATTTTTTTTCTAGCTCTTCTGAGATGCACTCACACAGTGAAACCCCCCACGCCCACACATACTGAGGCCATCCACCCGTGAGAAAACTTTGCAAGAGAAGTGAAAGAAAATCATAAGCTGATGTACTAATGGAGACGGAGAGGTCACCGGTTCCGAGGCAGGTGACTCCGGCGAGCTGCCAGAGGCGGCGGCGGTGGAGAGGCGGCCGGCGAGCGGAGCCGTCGCAGTCGTGACGCGGAGAGGGAGGAAGGGGAGGCGGCGGGGTGCCGTTAGGTTCAGGGCGAGGGCCTGGAGGCGGAGCAGCGACGCCATGGGCTGCGGCGGCGGCGGCGGCGGCCGGAGAGGGAGGCGAAGCGTCGCCGCCGTTTGCTCCCGGAGCGAGAGGGGCTGGAGAAGTGGGGAGTAGATATTGTGGTGGGCTTCGCTACCGTTGGATCCGATCTGGACGGCCCATATTGGCCCAGGGTTTAATTTTCTGGGCCTTTGCCTATTTCTCCCAGGTAAACCTGCATTTTTAGGATCGTTTTCACCGCGATTTTTTGTTTTAATAAGAAGTAGAAAATGGCGCTGGCTAGTTAACCGGTATAGGCATATGTAAAAAATGAATAAGCATTCAATAAAGCCGTTATATATTGTAAAATTTATCTAAAGCTCTCCTAATTTGTAAAACCGTTATATATTGTAAAATTTTGAAATCCTAATTTTTTTTCAACAAAATTTTATGAATATTCAAATGTTACTTACAACTTGTGTTTTATCTGATTTTTGCAATGTAAAAAATCATACATAATAATCGATACCATTGGACAACCTATCAAATATTGTCAACCACAAGTTAGCCTAGCCATTGTTATTATGTTTTACGAATTAACATTGAAAATCTATATGTCTGTTGACGCACCCATTCATTAGCCCCTATTCTTGTCACTCACTAAATATACACGTTAGTGGTGCGCCCACCAAATTATAGCTATTGTATAACGTTAGTTTACTATTCTATTTAGGAATATTATATAGTATTTATAAAAATAGATTAAGTTCTATAAAATCCGTGCAGAAATCATATGTTCAAAATTTAGTTACAATAATTCTTAGTTGTTGGTTAGGATCCTAGGGTGTGTTCGGGAGAAAGAGTTGGGAACCCCTCCTTCCCGGCACGCAAAACGAAGCTTGTATTATTGCATGATTAATTAAGTATTAACTATTTTTTTAAAAAAATAGATTAATATGATTTTTTACAACTTTCATATAGAAAGTTTTTGCATAAATCACATCATTTAGCAGTTTGAAAAACGTACGCGCGGAAAACGAGAGAGGTGGGTTGGGAAAATGGGGGAAGAACACAGCCTTAGTGTCCACAGTATACTTTTCCTCCCAAATATTCCATCCGGCTATAAATATTTGTTATTTAGAATAAGGTTTGATTAAACTTTGAAAATTTAACCATCATTTTTAAATACAATAAGTTTGACAATACTTTTAAACGTAAATCTACACATACTTTTTTATTGAGAATTAGCAAATTATTGTTGATTATCAATTTTTTTTTAAAAAAAATGGACCAAATATTGTCCTAAACTTATAATATTATGACCAAAGGGTGTACTGAAAATCCATTGGCGCATATATAGTACGTCCAGCACAAATTCACACTTGGATTTTTAATTTCTTTCTCTATATCTCAAGCACATCTAATAACTTTACATATTTGATATGTGTAATATGGTATCATATAAGTTATGTGATAATAAACTTTAAGGTGTGAAATGATTTTTTTCCGTGCAATCCTCGTGACAGCGGAGAGCTAGCTTGCTCAAACTTGAAGCCACGCTCACAATGTACTTATGTACCAAGAGTCGAAGACTCCAAAGAAGAGATCAAGAGACCAGAAAAGTCTTACCAATTGAAATGACCACAGGTGATGCTCAAAAGAGCTAACATGCATAAATCCGATCACAAAAGCGTTTCTATCCAAATTACATCTAGTTAATAAACTAAGTAACCACAAAGGTATCGTAGCATCGTCCCCACAAGGTTACAAGTTAAAAGGTCTTAGAACTAATCATTAATTTACTTTCCAAAGTCACAGCGCAAATTGATCTTTCTCGATCATTTTCTTTATCAACCATAACTAGTAGCGTCACATCATGCATATGGGCGTGTTTGGTTACCTACATCAAGCCTAACTTATATCCACGTATGCAATTGTCAAATGTTTGGTTGCCCGCGCCCTCTACAAGGCCTGGCGCTGCACATGCATATAAAGGCCTCCTGACTCCCTAGCCAGGCCCAAGAGGAAGCCGGAATTGAGCTTCACTTTAGAGCTTGGCTGAGCGCGTACAAGTGCGAGGATGAGCAGGTGCAGTGTGGGGATGCATGAGTTGGTGCAGTGTGGGGAGAGGGGGTCACACATCCGATCCAGTAACCTCCCTCTTCTCATTTGCTTGCTTGGTGCCTCACGAATCGTCCTCATCTCTACTGTTGTTAGCCATCATCCGTCGCCATATGACCACCGTCATCGTCATCACCACCCACCATGCAACGTCGATAGTTGCTTTCCTATCCCTTCTCCTCACTAGCCTCCGGCCTCTCCTCGGGACAAACGATAGTGCTTGAGGGATGCCTTGGGGATGATAGATGGCCTCCATCTTCTTCCCGTCGGTCGTCGCCTCCATCTTCCACGCCGGTCACTAAAACTCTTCCTCACCGATGACCACCGCATTTCAAGTCTCTGTCGCCCCTTTTTGACCCCGCAAAACACTGGATCTAGCTAATGGCCAGGATTGGCGCCGTCGGATCCGGCTCAGAGGACAGTATATAAATGTTCTTGACATGCTATTCTGAGTTTTTTTTCCCAATCATGCAAGACATACACATACTACACGTCTACACCACAAGTATACACATGTGAATATACCCCGTTAATACATGCTAAAAGGACTATAGATCCTAAATCTCACTAAATTATTCTATATGAATGGTGTCCAAAAATAGCAAGCTAGAGGAGTAGATGACAGCCCAAGGAGGCAAAGAAAGATAATCCCAAATCTCACTAAATTCTTAGATAGGTCATTTTTTCCTGAAAGCATTGAATCATAGGATCAGGATCCTATCGGATTCGGATTTTACAAAAGTGCATATTTTTTATAAAAGATCTGTAATACATTGCAAAAATTAAAGCCTATAACATTAATTTGTTAAATTTAATTGACCTTTTTACTATTCACATTATTTTCGATCCACTTTTTATTAATATATAGTACTTACATATAGAATCATATGATTGGGATCCTAATGAGATACTACAACCATATGATCCCACGAGATTGGTAGCATCAGCATATGAATACAAATAGAATAACACGAGATTAATTGTTTCGGCTTGCTAGCTAGGATATCTTACAATATACGATCGGGGATCCTATTAATTAACAACCTTGCTACTACTTATCACTCATTTTGCCTAGTAGCTTTCAATTGAGACAGAATCAGAAATATTCAAAATTTCTTCTCAGAAGCTTGTTGTTCGATCTCCAGGTTAATTTTCATGAACACTATATATCACACAGCAGAAAGTGCAGTACGGTGATAATTGATGAAATGGTGGCTTTGCGTCGTCGTCAGTGGTGCCACCTAACTGCATGCGTGCATGTGTGTCGGCGGTAATCATCTGCAGGCTGCAACAGGGGCAGCAAGCAAAGCTGGATTCTTGGGCTTCACACGTGCGAGCAGGCGAAGCAATCTTGGAAGCGATCTTTCCATGATAGTAAGAGAAAGATCCGTGGCGACGACGACACCACAGCTGATCATGCATGCAGAGCCGCAAGCATACTACCTGCAGTAGTTAATGTCGTTGGAAAATTATATCTCTCGGCATGGAAATCGAGAGGAAATCCCCGCACGCACGGCTGTTTTCTACCCTTCGCATGTGGGATTAATGTGATTTAATTTGTGAATATTTTCATAATTAGATGATTACGCGTATTGATTGGTAGCGCCAAATCTTTCCATGTTTTGGATTGCCCCCGATCTCCCTTACCTTCATATTAATAGGGGAGACCGGTGTCATGGATAGATGATGATCTCTCCACGATCATTTTCTCCCTAAAAATCCTCAAACCTTATCTGATCAGTTGAGTGCTAGAGGGAGAACGTACGGCTGTTATGAGACAGTGTAGGTGGAGACCAAAAGGTCACCGCTACTCTGCAAGTGATCGTCGGCGACCCCCTCGGGATCAAGCTGGTGTCTTCACCGCTACGACTATTTCCCCTACACTGACAATACATGAGGTGGTTCGAGGTTCTACATCCTCTACATCCACTTCGGTTCAAACTAGATCAATTGTAGTTACTTCAAACAACGGTCATTTAAAATCCAATTATGTATTATAGTGATCATAGATGGCTAAGCACTTATGTTAGTGGATCATATAATCTACAAATGTGCTAATATAATTAAACTAATCTTTGTGTTTTGAGAGTGGTGAATGTGATTGCTAGCTAGATAAAAAGGAAAAGCTGATGACGATTTGATGAAGCTGCTGATAAAATTAAAACAATCTAGCTAAGAGAGTAGTGATCGATCAAGATGCTACTAGCTAGCTAGCTTGTCTGAATTGATTTCCTTTCCAACCAATTGATCTAGTATCGTCATTGCTTCACGAGTTAAGGAAGATGAAATCATCAAACTCAGTGCTTCATCTGTTCATCATCGCATGAAATGTGCAAATGCCTGGAAGAACCAAGAGAGTACTTACCAGTTACCACAGGGCAAGACGAAGATTGTTGCTGGTGCAAAAGGATATCAGAGGAGGTCCAGATGAGCTCCATCACTGTCCGTCTTCTTCCTCTACTCCGACGAGTTGTTGAGGGGAATGAAGCCTGGTCCGAGACCGTCCACGTGTACCCACCACTGTGGTACGATCTCAGGCCAGACGACATTCCTCTCAACAAGATGATCGAGGGGAAGAACTGAAATTAATGGAGGAGAGAAGAACTGAAGAATGGAGGAAGAAGAAAGCTTTTCTCCTATATACTAGCTAGCTACCTGCGTATATATGCAGCAAATGATCGATGCTGCAATGCTTTTCCACAGCCTTACACATGCTTCTTTCTTCCTTTGCTCTCTCTTGCTGCTTTCACACTACACTTCTACACCCAACACACGAAACTGTCAACTGATTTTAAGTTATTTCGGGTTATTTTATGTTGCAATTGTGTCAAGGAGTGCACTGTATGTATACTTAATTAGGAGATTTAATCATGAGCAATATATGCTTGGCAATGGAATTCAGTCATGAGGTGCATCTGCCTTAGTGGTAATCATGAGTAATATATGCCTCATTATCTGAAAAATGAGTAATATATGCTTGGTAATGATCATGCAGATTAAGGCAGAGGAGAAGAACTTCGCAACCAAGATTCTGTGGATGGTCAACTGGATTTGTAAAACTGCAAGCAGGGAGCAGAAAGTCAATTGGCTGGTTATGAAAATTAAGCGATGATTACGCATATTCTCGGTCATGATTAAGCATATAACACATCACTAGCCAGTGAACAAACTAGAAATTTTGCAGTTAACTAATTAGAGTTTAAAAACATTTTGTGTATGTCTTTCAGGAGTAGTGCTGCATGCATGCAGGGCTCTGACCTGAGCTGATGATTTTATTCGCAAGCAAAGCGTTTGGTTCCTTGCCCTTTGCATTGCGTTTGCATGCCGAGTTGTTTTGATTCCAAGCTTAACACTCAAGAAACTGACCATGAGGCGACCTGCAAGCTAGCTGTAACAACAAAGATCACCTTTTGGCCCTTTTTTTTGTGTTTTTTTCCTGCATTTTTTAATGTTCTCTTTTGCCCCCTTTTTTTATTGATGTTGGACATGCATGCTGCACAAAAATATTTTCGACTAACAAGTTTTTCTGTTTTCTTGGTATCGGAGGTTCAATACAAAAATTATTTCTTTTTCATCAAGCAAATATTTTTTCTCTATTTCCATTTATACTCAGAAAATATAACAATATAAAAAATTATCTGTTTATTAGTGTTAAGCACACAGATTTTCTTTGCTTTGGAGTGAACTAGAATAATAACAATAGTTTAACATGTTTTAAATTTGGAATAAGTTCACTTTGACTCCCTTAAAAGTGACCCGAATCTAATCCATGACCCTAAACCGTAAAACCGGATATCTTCACCCCCAAACTATTGAAACTGGTGCAATTTGACTCCCTTGGTGGTTTTGGAGGGCAGTTTCGCTGACGTGGCGGTGTTGACCTAGTGTTAACAGTGAAATTTGGTAAGCCCAAAGTTACTTTCGGTTTAGAGTCAGTATCGGCTTCAAAGTTCTAGAATCAGCAGATGGGAGTCAAGTCTCCACGATGTCGTGTTCTTGGTAGCGTCGGATCAATCAAAGGAAGCTTATCTAGAAGAGTTCGAGTTCAAGAAGGATACGACATGACAGTTATCTATTAATTAGTCATAGTTTGTTAGTTTTCTTTTATCTTTAGGAAAATGTGTTTAGTGTCCGATAAGAACTTTATCTTTTCCTTTTTAGTTTCTTTCTTGTCCGACAAAGACTAGTATCTCCCTATAGGTATAAATATGTACACCCGGGGTCATTGTAATCTATCAATCTATCGATCAATAATACTCTCGGCGCATCGCCACCCTCTTCCCTGAGGTTTTTACTTATCTTCCGGCAGAACTTGGGCACCTGACGCAGGGCTGCATCGGCTTTCAATCTCCAGCGAAGGGGTAAGTCCTACGTTCTGTCGGGCCCTGGTGAATCTGTCGGCTACGTTGGTGTTGTTCAAGGCTGCATCGATTCGATCTCTTGGATCGCTCTGGTTTGGTTGATATATTTGCCTACCTGATATCTCAATTCTATCTCTAATTGCATTGTGTTTAGAGACGCATCGGTTTAGTTGGGACTGTTTCAGTTAGGTCTGATCTCCTGTCTTAGCCGATATATCTCTACAATCATAATGTTGTTCTAAATAGATTTGTTATATCCATCACATTAGACAGATCTATCGGCTCATTGAGTATTAGATTATCATATACAATCTCGTGCTGCATCGGTTAGATTCGATCTACTAGATTGTTGTTGATAATATAAGTCTTGTTAAGCCGATAGGTTCATGCTAATGTTTTATCGGGGTGCTAGCCGATAAGTTATTTGGACGTTGCATCGGCTTGTAGGGATTGCATATACATATAAGTTGGATTTAGCCGATGGCAACAAAGGTTTCGCTGGAGATCGAAAGCCGATGCAGCCCTGCGTCAGGTGCCCAAGTTCCGCCGGAAGATAAGTAAAAACCTCAGGGAAGAGGGTGGCGATGCGCCGAGAGTATTATTGATCGATAGATTGATAGATTACAATGACACCGGGTGTACATATTTATACCCATAGGGAGATACTAGTCCTTGTCGGACAAGAAAGAAACTAAAAAGGAAAAGATAAAGTTCTTATCGGACACTAAACACACTTTCCTAAAGATAAAAGAAAACTAACAAACTACGCCTAATTAATAGATAACTGTCATGTCGTATCCTTCTTGAACTCGAACTCCGACGAGATCGAGCGGGGGGTCGGTGGTCTACGGGCTACAGCTTCGGATCCATCTGCATCGCCGGGATCAGAGCTCCTCGCCGCCATCCTCCACCACCTCCCCGCATCCATCCTCGCATCGTCGTCGCGAGGAGGTGCGACCTCGTAGTCCAGTGCCTCCTCTTCTCCTCTGTCCCTCCACACGCATCAGCTCCAGCGCAGGAGGACGCGGGACGTCGACGGCGGAGGCATCGAGCAGGTCGAGCGGTAGCTTTGGCGGCGTGCGGGCGATTGTGAGTGCGGGAGGAGGCACCGGCGGCGGCGACAACACGAGCTCGACGGCTCCGCCTCTCCCCTCTCCATTCCGGCCCTTATGCGCCGCCGCCGCCTCTCGTGTAACCCACCACCTCCGTTCCTCCCTCACCTGCTCTCCTCTCCTCTCCTCTCTCCACTTGGCGAGGTCGATGGTGAGGCCGCCACCGCCGCCGCTCTGGCCCCCGCCCGCCGCCGCCACTGCTTTGGCCCTGCCCACCGCCGCTCCAGCTCCAGTCGCCCGTGCTCCCCGCGGCCGGCGAAGGGGAGAGAAGAGAAAGAGAAAGAAAGAGAGAAGGGAGGAAGAAGAAAGGGAGATAGAGGATGACATGTGGGGCCCACATGTCAGTGGGCCCCACAATTTTTTATTTTGTGTGTGAATGACTAATGGGTACCACGCATATTTTTTATTTCTAATACCACTTAAGCGCCACGTGGAAAGAAGACCGAGTCAATACTGCCACGTATGCGCCACGTCAGCAAAACCGCCCTCCAAAACCACCCAAGGAGTCAAATTGCACCGGTTTTAAGAGTTTGGGGGTCAAGATATCCAGTTTTGTGGTTTAGGGTCATGGATTAGGTTTCGATCACTTTTGAGGGTCATGAAGTGAACTTATTCCTTTAAATTTAGCCCATGACAGACAGATTGGGCCCGTTCCAAACAAGGCCTGAACTGTATGGGCCAGAATTCTGGCCCATCCAAGCAAGGCCTACATCCTCTTTTCGGCCCTAGAAAGCCCACTTCCAACACGGCCCATTTATTCTTTTTTCCGTTTCATTCCTCCGTTCCGTTCCACGCTCTGGCCATCAAAACCCCTCCTCCTCCTCCTCCCCCCACAAAACCCCACTCTCCTTGCTCCGCCCCCGCCGCGTCGCCGTCGCCATTGCGCCGCCGCCGCCGCCGCCGCCGACGCCGTGCGTCGCGAAGGTGATCTCCGCGTCCCTAGCTCTCTCCCCCTCCTCCTCCTCCTCCTCTCTCTCTCTCTCCTACCTTTTCTCCGCTCGCGCGCATGCAAGCGATGCGGCAGCAGCGGCGGCGGCCGTGCTCCGGTGCCGCGCGGGGCGGGGATCGCCGGCCCCATTTCTGCTGGGTTTGGCGGGGTTGGGGACTTACTTGGGTATCGAGCTGGGAGGTGTACGGCTTGTTGGTCTAATCCATGGGGTTATATGTGTCGCTCTGAGTTCTTAAGGCACTAAAGGGGGTTGGTTCGTTTTATTCATTTTTTTTTTGTTTGCTTGTTTGTATGCTTTGATGCGTCGGCGTCGCTATAGCGAGTTGTTCTCCGTTGGTGACCGTGTTGGGCTTGGTTCGAGTTTTCGTTTCGGGCAATGCGCAATGATGCTACTTGGTAGTACTTGGGAGCAGAGCTGTACCAGGGGCTAAGCTGATCAGGTTGTTCTTTGCTACGATTGAGCTTCAGATTACACAGTTCCTTTGTTTGTGGGACTGTTAGGATCCCGGTGATTGAGGCTTGTTATACTGCGTCTGTGTGCAAGCCTTGATTGAGCTCTTGATTTGAGTCGCTCACTGCGGGGTTGATATTCGATGGGATTTTGCCAGGAAATTTTACTTGGTTCCATCATTAAATTGTAGGAATGTCACTATTCAGATTGTTCTCATTACTATTTATCCTTTTCGATGATTCAGTGCTACCAGGAATGCTGGGATGAATTCATATTGTGATAAGAAAGAGGTTACTGTAGCTTTTAGCAAAACTAAAAGGCAAGAGGAGGATGAAGTGATTTGGAGAATGGTAGAACAAGGCGCTACAGATGATGAAGAGTGTGGTGGTACCAACTGTTCGGCTGGCGAAAATAGGGATCCTGGTTGGCCTGGAACGAGTGTCTTCAGGATGCTGATTCCTGCAACTAAAGTTGGCGCAGTAATTGGTCACAGTGGAGAAAGGCTTAGAAGACTGTGTGAGGAAACAAAAGCCTGCGTCCGAGTAATAGGTGGCCACTTTGCTGCTGCAGAGCGAGCTGTAAGTTCTCCATTTAGTAGTATTATTTTTTTTCTTGATCATCCTTGACTTCCCATTACTATTTATACTAGAATACTGTTTCCTTTTCTGCCTGCAGTATGCTAGCATTTTTTTTTCTTTTTGGCAATGATGATCTTAATTGAGTGCTTGCAATTAAATTTTATAGCATTTGGCCACAAACAATACTGCGGGGTTTCTTTCAGAGAAATGTATGAATGATTCATGATCTGGCTAACGTATCAAGTATCAACTAGCAAACCAGAAGTGGACTATAGAATGTACTTATCCTGGATGCAGATGGTTTTTCTTTGCTTTTAGAATGTTGTCCTGTTACGATGTTGTGTTGACTTCCAATCGCTTTTGTGGTAACTGAAATATAACCTCCTATATTGTTTTTTTTTGTCTTTGTACTTTGGATTCTTATATAAGTTGGTCTTTTTCAACATAATTTTTGCAATAGCTTGTGATTCATAAAAATATGGGCATCATTTATGTTTAGTTCAATAATTTCCTCAATTTTGTTTCTTTCAATTTTTTTTATTGGAAGGTAATCATTTTTGCAAAGGAACAACCTGATGAGCCAAAACCTCCAGCTATTGATGCACTACTAAGAGTATATGAGTGTATAATCAATGATGATGGTTTAGATGTGAGATATAACAATATAGTTGTGGCACGGATTCTTACACCAAGTGAACAGGCAGCAAGCCTTATTGGCGATCAGGGTTCAGTGATTAATTATATCAAGAAAGCTTCTAAAACCAACATCCATGTTATTGGTAACTTTCTTACTTTGATGCACCTCTTGGAACCACTAGTTCCTTCTATTGATAAATTTGATATCAGTGGTCTCCAACTCTCCATATATACAGATGCGGGTCTTTGGATGATGCACTAGTGTATCTATAAGCTACATGAATTTCAGCTTACTGAAGCACATGGTTACTCATGTTGCTTGGTGACTCTACTGCATTGAAACTAAATTTCTTAAGCATGCAGTGATGTTTTAGCCCCATCAAGGAATTAAATGGACTACTACATCAGCATATTCTGTCAAACATGTTTTTGCTGGTTAATTATAAGCTGAGATTGTACCTGTGAAAAAATATGTTCATGCAGGAATAGTTAATATTGCGTGTAGCTATGTACATGTTGTCAGGTGTCCATATTTTCTTATGTGTTAAGAAAGTATTTGTTATGGCCAGTGTTCCGTACTTATGCGGCCCGTCCAACATGACATCCGTTGAAAGCGGACCACTGGCGAGAGATAATTAGTGGATTAGATATCCCTACTTGCTATCTTTGTCTATGTTTCCATTCCATTAGATTGTTTGTTTCCTTTTTCATTAGAGATTCTTGTTAGGGACCATCCTATAAAAGGATCAACCATATTATTTTAAGAATTAATTGATCTTTCTCTTTCTTTTGTCACTCACTTAAATAGTTACAGAGCAAGCAGAGAAGTTAATATACATAATGAACTAGGACTTGGTTACACTTAAAGGATTCTGATATGGCATGAAAATTATGTGACTAATTAACTTATTTCTTTGAATTTATCAAGCAATATCAACAATAACACAATGATTGCCCATGGATGCAATGAAAAGAAACAGTTTTAAGCATGACTTCATCCATGGCGGATGGAGCAGGGGGCGCGAAGGTGGGGACCCCGGGCCTAGTGCTTTCAGCCCATCATGCCTGCTATGTATTCACGGTCAAATTATCTAGTAACCAAGCAATGGCCACGGCATTGCAACATACAGAGTAGCATTTTAGTTGATCCGTTGATTATTATTTTGCATTTATCGTTCATCTATTACTAGATTCATAAATATGGCTAAACTAAATTACATAGTTTTTCTCAAGTGATATTAGCAATATTTCCCGCACAAATGGCAGTATGAAACAACAAATAAAATCTTGGAGGGATTTTAATCTCATTGATGCCATGGTGATCTGGTAAAACATATGCAAACCATCCTTCTGAATCCTATTTTTTTATTAGTGTTGTTCCACGGCCCCTTCCTCGCCTCTAAATTTTAGCTCTGCGTTTGACACTGACTTCATCAAAACTACAAAATGCAACATCTGTTTAATGCGATGACGCATGGGTTTCATTGCATCCATCATTTGGATAAAATGGGTTGCACTTTTATTTTAAATTCAAAAGTTTCAGTTATGATTGACCTAAATGGTATTATATTAGTTCCATTTGGTGATATGCAGTTTCAGTATCTAATACTACTTTCAAGATTAAACTGCTATTATTTGGTACACTTTCCAGCCTTCTATATATAATCTTAATAAGTACTCATTCCATCATGTCTTGACTATGTAGACGGTGACTTGCCACCTGTTGCACTTGAAGATGATATGATTATTGAAATTTGGGGACTGCCTGCAAGAGTGCATCAAGCATTGGAACTTGTTGCTTGTCATTTGAGAAAGTACCTGGTTCATCGAAGTGTCATCCCACTGTTTGACCCCCATGTAAGTTGCCACTATTTTGAACATTTGTTATTTAATGAGCAATTGAGCATACCGACACAGTACATTTTTGTCCTCGCAACATTTAATTCTGAGGAATGATTTTCTTCAGGTGTCTATTCCAATCTCACCTGTGGATATGCCCCCATTCCACTACAGTGACCATCATGAGGGCCTTCTGCACGAAGCTAGTCCAGGCTATTACTCCCTATATGCTGAAGCTTTTCAACTTGAACACCCATGGACTGATACTAGTTATTCAAGGTATCCAATGGAAAACTTTACACATGCTGACATATTTGAATACAGACAAGAAGCACCAGTATTTTTTGGGAGATATCGGTCAGTCACACCTCCACATTATGGGCATGAAGCAGAAGCATATTTATCATCTCCAATGGAATTATGTTTGCATAACAACCTGAATACATATGGATGGCAAGCAACTCCACCAATTGGTCGATCAGATACTGTTGAAAGAATACGCTCCCTTATATCTGTGTATGGAAAACAGGCACATCCACATCCGCTGAGGCAGACATATCAATCAACTAAAATGGAAAAACATCCACACTCGGGGATATCTTTGTACAGAAGGGATGATCATCCAACAAGGGTATCTCCATCACCTGCTACTGAACTACCCCCATCTCCTGCTGTTTCTGCATATAAATGGCAAGTATCTCCATCCTTAAAGATGTATCCTTCAACTAATGTCGAAAACCTTCAACACTGCCGTGTTTCTGCATGCGCTCCAGAAGAACTGCCAAATGTGGTTGTGCCTTCGTTAACTAGTCAATCTCCTGCAGTCACTTCTCAGGTTTGTATGGTTTTTATCATAGACTCTTGCTGACTTGTTTTAATTAGTCCTGTCAACATTATTTACTTCTTGTTTGCTGACATGTTTTTATTGTCTGCGCAACACTATTTACTATCATTTTTGGACGGTGGGCTGCTTGGCAGGTTATAATGAAGATGCAAGTTCCAATTTTCTATGCTGAAGCGGTAATTGGCCCAACTGGTGCACGAATTGATTACATTCGCCAAGCCAGCGGATCAAGCGTCGTGATAAAGGATCTTGATGACAGTGCAATGTCTATTGAGATCACTGGAAGTGCTGCAACAGATGTTCAAATTGCAGAGCAGTTGATAAAGGTAGCAGCAGCTTTTATAATTTTGTTGTTGTTGTTGTACTTACTTCTGATGAAATGACTAGTCTAAGTAAGTTCATTGCATTTCTGTTGACATAACTGGTCTTTACTTTTAGACAAGGTTCTATTTCTGTTTTATGAAAAACACAACATGACTGCAATCCTCTCTTTTGTGGGTATTGCTTCCATTTATTGTAGGCAAAATTGGTTCTAGAGTAGCCAATTTTTCCTTTATTGTAAATATAGTTCAATATCTAGTTTTCAATCTTATTTTACCTACTGGACAGCTAATTAATTGTATAAGATTCCATGTTTCCGCAAACAGACCACATATTGCTATTCATCTAATGCTCGCTAGCCCAGTCCTTGTATGGAAAATCAGGGTGCTGGTTGCTGTCCTGGTGTATCAGGTTCTAGACTCTTCGTTGATATGCATGAACTTTGACCTGAATAGCAGCTCAGTACCCTTGAAAGTTCAACCACTTGCTACCGGGACTGCTTTTTGCTTTTTGGAATTGCACCTTGGTTTCTGTAGTTTTACCACTATTGTGCTGAGAGCCTGAGGCTGTAAGATGAATTCCACGCTTGTACGTTTGCCTTAAAAATATCAATGTTGCCCTACCACTCTCCTGACCATCGTTTTCTTTTCCAGAACTTCATGGCTGAAGCTGCTGCCGCTTCCCCTGATCACAGTTATGACTTCATTCCATCACATTTGCCAGCACCGAGATCTCCAGAGCCAGATATTCCAACTACTTCACTCACTCGCAGAGCAAGCTGTTTTACAGAACCTCGCCTGCAAGCGACCTACTGAGTTCCCAAGAGTTCTCTTTCTGCACATAGTCCCTACACCGGCAATACAGGAAATCCGCGAGAGTACATTCCCAGAAAGTTTTGATATCCATCCTCAGATGATTAATATGCGCCCCCTTTTTGAACCCCCAAGACTTGTATCTAATATTTTCTTTTTCTTTGGCTTTTAGCCATAGACTTTGATCCATGAGTTAGAAATTGACTCTGATCCATGAGTTAGAAATAGACCTTGATCCATGGGTTAGAAGTCTGAGATTATGGTATAGGACAACAATTTTTTGGTGGATTCAGGGTAAGTGATGTACAAGATATGTGCCCTCAGATGTTTGAGAGACAGTTTGTATTACATGACAACATGCATTATGTTATCTACAAACTAAAATTCACTTTTAATTCCTTGTTAACTGCTGATGTGTGACCTGACTGTTAAAAGCTGCTGCCATGTCAATGGATGCTTGGGTGTTGCATAGCTTGCATTGATCTATTTTTGTATGTGTGGCCATGCTTGAATCTCTCGCCTGACATTCAGACTTCAGACATTACAAGGGGAAAATGCCGGGTTTAGAGGAGAGCAAGGCAGCCATTCTGTTCCTCCTTTCTCTCTCCTCTCTTCGTCCCTGCGTAGAGAGGGAGAGAGAGAGAAGGAACCCCTTTTGCCTCCTCTTTCCTGCCAAGAACCACATTTTCCCCCAATCTTTCTTCAGATTTTCCACACAAATCTGTACGCCTTTTCGGTCTAAAGAAAAATTCAGCATCGGTATGTTCAATCACCCTGTTATGTATTTCTTAAAATTCCTTGAAAAATCATTGGAACAATCTTTGTATGAATGTGAAAATGCTGTGATGTTACATGTAATCAATTGCGCTGCAAGTAATTTCTTCTCAAGATTATTCAGGAGTTTTTCCCCTGTTATAACTGGTGAAAATTTTGGATCCTTGCTCATATTTTCCTCCTTTTTTTGTCTGAACAATCAGATATTGGTGTCTTTCTGCAAGAAAGGTGGGCATTGGCAGCACCAACGCTCCATCCATTTACCTTCTGAGCAAACAGCTTCCTGTGAAGATCACCTTTTCTTGGTGCTGCAATCTGCATTGGCACCAAATCAAGATTCAACATTTGCTCCCATATCATCAAACCAAGATTCAGCAGTGTGATTTTGGTTGCCTTGAAGCTGCATTGAGGAACCTTTCATGTGATTTTTTTGATGCACATTGATCATCCATGGCTGCGAAAAACCATGCGAGATCCCAGGACTTCTGGAGGAGATTCTGGTCCATGCTGTCTTATGCTTGCAGCGAGCTTTGCTTGATCATCCTGCTCCATGTGGCCGCAGGAGCATCCTACCTGGCGACGAGGTTGGCGCGCATCCACAAGCTCAAGATGCCATGCATCCTGTGCACAAGGATGGATCATGCCCTTCATGGGAAGCCATGGTTCTCTTCGGATTTGGTCTGCGCCGCGCATAGGTCGGAGATATCATCTCTGGCATACTGCAGTAGCCACAACAATCTTGCACAATGTGATGATCTCTGCAAAAGATGCACTGTAGCAACGAATGATGTGGTTGACACAAGGAGATCGAAATCCAGGCAGCTGTGTTCTTGCTGTTCGGAGCCATTCACCAAGGCGCGCAATGCGCATAGGATTTCTGAGACTGCCAGTGTTTCTGGGGAGATCAACCGGGAACAAATCCCTGCAGATCATTCAAAAGATAAGGGTAAGTTCACTTGTCTGAACTACTGTACTTCAGATTCTCTTATAACTGAATCCTTTTTAGAGGTTCACCGAGTGAATCCATTGTGTTTTTTTTTTGTAGCCTTTGTGGTGGGTATTGAGGAGGTGAATGAATCTGATAGTTCACCACGAACATATGAACAATCCACAAAGAACAATGGCGCTTCTGGAAATGCTGGGACTGCAAAGCTAGCACCCAGTGGATCTACTGTGCCTATGCGCGTTTTCGTCGATCGCAACAGCAGCGTAAAGAACGGTTTCATAAGTAGGGCCAATCTTTCATCACCTCGGCCATCACAAATAATCTCTGCCAAGGACAGCAATTCAACCACTCAGCAAGAAGTGAAGGCATTCCTTTCACAGATGTCTACTGTAAGGGGCATTGACAGTTCTTGGAGTGATGGAGCTCCTAGCCCCGGAATCAATGCGCAAACCGATGAAAGCAATGCCAATGGCAGGAGGCCATCCCTCGAGAGGAACTATTCTGTGATAGAACCATCGGATGCGAACCTCGCTGATGAAGTTGAGGGAGAGAGCTCTCCTGAGAACCTGAAGCGGCTTCTTGAGCTCAACAAGAAGTCGATGAGTGCTCTCTACAAAGAGCTTGAGGAAGAACGTAGCGCTTCGGCGATCGCGGCTAGCCAAGCAATGGCCATGATCAATAAGTTGCATGAGGAAAAGGCTGCAATGCAGATGGAGGCACTGCAATACCTGAGGATGATGGAAGAGCAGGCCGATCATGACCACGAAGCGATTCAGAATCTTCACGACTTGCTTACGGAGAGGGAGAAAGAATTACTTGACATGGATGCTGAGCTTGAGAACTTCAGGAGGCTAGTCCAGAATGAACAATTCAATGGCGGGAAACATGATATCGCTGGCATAATGAATGAAACAGACATGCCGTTTGAGGTCTTGAATGACTTGGGCTACACGAAGAACACCATGTCGGGTTTCGAAGACGAAATGGCGTATATTTTGGAATCGATAAGCAGATTGGAGGATAAGCTCTGCGTCTCCACAAACAGACTTGCTTCTGACGATGCCAAAATTAATCAAGAGGGATTGATAGGAGGGGCTGATTTTGGGAGCTCACCAACGCATGGTGAATCAACTTCTGATCAGCAAGATGATGGAAACAAATCTGTTCAGAACCATAAGGATAACTGTTCTTGTTCTCATCCAGAGGATGGGAAAACGAGTGATGCAAATCTTAAGGATGAAGTCTCACTGTTGCATACGAGATTGCAGGCACTTGAAGCTGATCAGGAGTTTCTTAAGCATGTGTTAAACTCCCTAAGGTGTAGCCCTGATGGACTGCAGTGTGTACAGGCGATAGCCAGCCATTTACTAGAGTTGAGAAGAATTGCAACTCAGAGATAATTTTCCCCCCTGATTTCACACCTTCTGGTCATGAGGTAATAATTATTCTAGCTACCATTTCATAGCAGTGAGCTATTATTTTAAAGTTTCCTTAACATTTTGAAAAAAAAACGGAAGGATTTTATCATTTTATGAGGTAGTAATTGATTTACCAAAAACATGTAACCTGATAAAACAGAAGCCTATATAAAGAAGATTCTAGAAATATATCCATGGTAGGAGCTACCAAGGAAATGCACATTCATAATTGATGCAAAATTAATGCAAGTGTTTTCATACACTGATAAGTGACACTAATAATTCTGGCCCATCTGTATGTCAAAAGATGGATCTGGATTAGGTTCTTTCTGCTCCATTGCTGAATACCATCAGGTTTTAGCTATGTTTGCGTTATTCTCAGTACATTAATCCCTCTTGTCATTTCTTTGATATTCAATTTCTTTATATAATTTAATTATAGGATTGCAAATGTTGTCCATGAATGCTCTGCTTAACCATAAATCATTGACAACTTTGGCCTAACCTTTTCTTGCAGCTCTTCTCATGTAGTGCTACAGACCTTCATGGTGCTTCTTGTTAGAGCAGCATTGAAGAGGTCTAGAAATCGATGTCGGTGAAAGATCATCTGAAATGAGGAAAAGGAGCATGCACTGACAAAAAAAACTTCCATTCCTTGTACTAATCTTCAAGTTTTCATTGACCAGGCTGGCCCCCTGTTGCTGTAATTCTGTCACTGCTTCAGTAAATTACTGAAACAGACAAAGGCATCTCCTCTATATCGATGTGATTGCTGTTAGGAGCAAGTTTGTAACTGTAGATGTAACTGATGCTTGCGGTTCTTGCAAAAGAGGAGTTTAACTAGTAGAATATATACAGTGTTCATATCAAATTAATCAATGTCTCCTTGCTTCAGAAATGCAAGGTTTTCTGCCTCATCCAATTAATTTTCTCCATACGTTTAAATTTCTTTTTCCATTCCTGCTGATTGTGTGATGCCTGATGAGAGAATTGCAAATGGGATTTTCTTGTGCTATTTTCCCAGGCATATATGAGTGGCCGGTTATTTCCACAGGAATTCGTCATCCGCCACTAGCAAACTACTATTTTAGATTGAACCTAGTCCACTTGAGCTTTTATTCCTTTCTGTATTGTTGCCCAAAAGTCAAGATCCAAATCTGAATTTCACGGCTTGAAGTAATTACGTCCTTATCTTGCATATTGTTGCAGACCATTTAGTCTCAACTCCCGAGCTTTTGGACTGCATATCTCAGAAATTTCAACAATTACTCCCTCCGTTCCTATTTACTACTCCCTGACGCCGTTGACTTTTCGATCAACGTTTGACTGTTTGTTTTATTCAAAAGTTTTATGTAAATATGAAAATATTTATGTCCAGCTTAAAGAATATTTGATGACGAATCAAGTCACAACGAAATAAATGATAGTTACATAAATTTTTTAAATAAGACGAATGGTCAAACGTTGGATAAAAAGTCAACGGCGTCATACATTAAAATATGGAGATAGTACTAGTCACTGTTGACCAATATCGTTGCAACTTTGATAATTAACAAGTTTTTTTTTTGTTGAACGAAAATTGTGGTATGGTCATGTTTAGCATGCAACATGCTTGGATAATATCTTATGTTTTCATATATATACAAATGTGTTGCAAAAATAAGAATGGCCAAAGTTTACATATGACCAATGTTGATGATAATTATATGGGCATGGAGAGAGTAGGATACTGTATAAAGTAGTAGGAAAAAAAACATCTCCAAATATTTTCTTTCCAGCACTGTATCCATCCTCCATTTTATTATCTTCTCTTATTTCAACGCTGTTTCCTTCTCTTTGTTTTTTTTTTTTTGCGGGGATGTTATGTTTATTTAATTGTTCCATAGAGTTGACTGAAATTGCATTTTTGAAGTACAATTTGCATCACATCTGATTAAGTGATTATCTGTCCTCTTCGTCATATATAACTCTCTTGACGAACTGAATCCAACTAATTTCACATTAAAAATTAGTATCCACTTGCCAATACTGTATTTCCAGGAAAAAAAACAAAAGCCAATAATTAGAACATTTTTTCAATAATAATAAGAAAACTAGTCAAATTCGTACTAAAACGTGAACAACCTGTATTCCCGCACACGAGCTGACTTTGCATTTATTTAGATTTAAAATTGCAAGCTTGCCTATTTTGTCCCAAATGCATGCTGGCCTTGAGTTTAAAATAACCATCACAAAAATGCCACTTCATGTAACACATGGTTGATTTCTTTATCCACACTATGAGATTTGCTACAGTCCAACAAAAAGTACCTCAAGGTCCCGATACATCACGCTGATCCAACGATCGGAAACGGACAATTTGGTACCATGAAGTACCGGTACCTTGAGATACTTTTTATTAGATTGGAGCAAATCTCCCACACTATTACTCTTAACCTCATGTTTGCATAGGAATATAGTCTTCTAGCTTTTGCTTGTTTAAGAGTATTCCATTTCCAAAATTGTGTGGTCTGGCCTTTCTCTTCTCTCTCAAGACAGCGTTTTGGCCAATTCAGGATGTGATATGACATGAGCTAATCGGAGTGCCTTCCTTCTTCTTGTGCCACTCTGAAAGTCTGAATCTTCTCCCATGTATAAGTTGGTATAGACTGATAAGATATATACAAGCAGCTTTGCTTTCCAAGAAAGCCATGAAAGGGTGGTGCTAGTGAGCCAGTAATAGCATTACCGTACTTCCACATGTCGCCGGCGAGAGGTGGCACGCCGGAGGAGGAGGGCGGTGGCGCCGACGTCGAGAAGGCGGCGGCGGAGACGGGAGGTAGAGGCACGTGGAGGCACGCGGCGTTCCACGTGGCGACGACGATCGCCACGCCGGCGGCCTATGCTCCCCTCCCGTTTGCTCTTGCCTCCCTTGGCTGGCCTCTTGGTTGGTGCTTCTTTACTCATCCTGTTTCATCCTCTCCATGGATTCTCTGATATTTGAGCTTCTCCTGCTCTGTTGCCTGAAATGCCATGAACAGAAAGTTTCTCAGTTCATATGCATGCATGATTTTTTCTTCTGTTTGATTTGAGTAATTTGTAATTAGCTAACTGTTGTTTGAGCACAGGTGTTTGTAGCTTGGTCACAGGAACACTAGTTACATGGTGTTCTAGCCTGGTTGTTGCCTCACTGTGGCAGTGGAATGGAGACAAGCACACCAGCTACAAGCTTCTTGCAAAGAGCATCTTTGGTTAGTACTCATCACCATTTTTTTTGTCACGACAAAATTGTACTTTTGATCTTACTGTACTGTGTCACAAGAAGATTTCTGAGTAGCAGCCTAGCAGGAAAAGAGTTGCCAAACGATAGTAAATGGGATTACAGATTCTTCACCATAAATATTTACTTTTGATGATCTACTTGTAACAGTAATATACTTAGCAGTGCAGAAATTGTTGCAAATTTACCTCAAGTGATGGTAAAAATCTGTGCTTTTGTCTGAAGGTCCCTGGGGTTACTGGTATGTGTCGTTCTTCCAGCAAGTGGCATCAATTGGAAACAACATTGCAATCCAGATTGCAGCTGGGAGCAGCCTCAAGGCTGTGTACAAGCACTACCACACCACTGATGATGGCGCCATGACCCTGCAACAGTTCATCATTCTCTTCGGCGCATTCGAGCTGTTACTCTCCCAGCTTCCTGACATCCACTCACTCCGGTGGGTCAATGCTGCCTGCACCGCTAGCACCATTGGATTTGCAGGGACAGCCATTGGTGTCACCATTTATGATGGTAAAATCTGGTCATATCTTCACTTTTCAGACTGAAGATTTCTGGAAATTGAAGATGTGGAAGAATGAACAGAATGAATTTCCTAATGCAGGGCATCGGATTGATCGGAAGGAAGTTGATTACAGTCTGCAAGGAAGCGCTGCATCAAAGATCTTCAGAGCCTTCAATGCACTGGGCACAATAGCATTCTCATTTGGGGATGCAATGCTGCCAGAAATTCAGGTGAATATCTGATATTATGCTGAGATTCATGCTGTCAGTGTCCACTCAACTCCAAAACTTCACTGAAATTCAGAGCTCTGTGCGAGAACCGGTGAGGATGAACATGTACAAAGGCGTGTCGACGGCGTACTCGATCATCGTCATGTCCTACTGGACCCTGGCATTCAGTGGGTACTGGGCATTTGGCTCAGGAGTACAGCCCTACATCCTGTCCTCCCTGACTTTTCCAAGATGGACAATTGTGATGGCAAATCTATTTGCAGTCATTCAGATCACTGGTTGCTTTCAGGTAACACACCAGTAACCTCTTTTTTTTTTCACAATTTTCACTCTGACAGACTATCCAGTAACTGTAAATCTTCACCAAGATATACTGCAGGCCGACATTCGCGCAATTTGAACAGCGGATTCAGGCGAAAGACGCAGGCTACAGAGCAAGGATGTGGAGGCTGGTGTATACCTCTGCATACATGGTGGTGATCACCCTCATCTCTGCAGCAATGCCATTCTTTGGGGACTTTGTGTCAGTCTGTGGAGCTGTTGGCTTTACCCCTCTGGACTTTGTGCTACCTGCACTGGCATTTCTGAAGGCCGGGAAGTTACCTGAAAACCCAGGATTACGCCATGCTGTGAAGGTGATCACCTCTGCTGTCGCTGTCTTGTTCTCCATTGTCGGAGCTCTGGCATGCATCGGCGCCGTCAGAGCGATCGCACTTGATGTCAAAACCTACAAATTCTTCCATGACATGTGAATGCAGTTAGTTAGTATCATGTTGGTGATGAAATGAATGTCTCTGCCATCTGTGCCAGTGGTTTATACCTGGTGATCTGACATGTGCTAAGTATTAAGTATATTTATGATTTGGAATAGCGGCAACAGTTGAGGGAAAATCAAAATTTCTCAGATTTCACGGTTTTAACGCTCTTAAGATAAACATTTTAACACTGTAAGAAAACAAAATAGATGCTATAGACGGATTACATCTTAAACAAGAGAACTTAACTATTCAGGAGATCAAATTCTTAGGCCTGATTCTCTCAGTGATTTAGTATACTAGTGCCATCGAAGTTCATAATTTGAAGAGAGAATGCAAGTGCTGCCCATAATAACAGTCAAAATTGACCTATACAAACCATGACAGCTACATAAATTCCATATAGAGTTGCCGAACTACGGAGGTTACAAGGGGTAAAAGAAACTTAAAAAGGCTAACCACCACTTGGCAGCAGTCTTTTCAAGGGAGCACTAACTTATTTTCTGATGCAACATGGCTAAGCTCAGCTAAAATCCTTCAGCCTTCTCTTCAACACATCCAAGGACTTCTTTCGAGCACTTTGCACTGTACTTCGGCCTGAAAGGCTCCCAAATAAGCTTTCCGGAGCATCTCTAAACTTGTCACAGATGATAGACACCTTCTTATGATCCAAGGATCCAAAATTCTTCTCCCTGATTACAGGGTTCATGAAGTTCTCTGGCTGGTTGCTGAGCAGAAGATCGGTGAGCTGCCTAATTTCGACCAGGCAATCTCTGAAAGTTGTTTCTTTTCTCAGCTCTGACAACCCAGTGCTGTGGAATTTATCATCTGCAAATTCCTCTAACTTTTTCAGGTCAATGTCAATACCTGCGGCAGCATTAGCATTGAACCTTTTCACCCGATCACTAAGAAAAACTGTCATTATCGAGTCCGAGATGTGGCTGAATGCCCCACAAACCACCTTGTACAGGGCTTCCCTTGGAAAAACATTCTGTGCAGTTGACACTAACGTGTGAAGATAGATGACGACCTCATTCATGTAGTCATTCACATGTTCTGGAGTTTCCTCTGGTGTCCAATTGATGCTAGTCAAAAGCAACATAAATTCGTCAATCTTGGAATTGGCCAAGGCTATTAACCCATTGTACGCTGCATTTTGAGAGGCTTTGAGCACAGCTCTAGCAGTCAAACCGGAATGAGGCTTGTCAAGAAGACGCCTAGGAACACCACAAAGTTGGGCAGCATGAAAGAGGAACATGTCACAGGACTTCTCAAGAATGGCAATATTTCCTGCAATCTGCACCATTTGTGTAATCTCCAAACAACCACCATGTATCAAATTCAGAAGGCCATCATTTAGTACCTCAATCAAGAGCTTGTCTAGGTATCTTTTCACCACATCATAGGCGTCCATCATAGGATCATATGACAAGTAGTTCACAGAATCATCAATAAAAGAGCGCACGATAAGGCAAGCATCTGGAACTGAAGAGGAAAATGGTGCAACATATGGAAAATCCGGAACTACACCAATGGGTTCAAGTTGAAATGCTGAAACATTCATGTGGTACTCATTTTCCTTCTTAATGATCATCTGCTCATATGAGTCCTTAGTGAAGATGCCATCTATCTTTTTCCGGCAATCAGAAAGAAGAAGTTGATAGAATTTGTCCCTATTCTTCTCAAGAATTTCAAGCAATGATGTGGTTTGGTATCCATACTTCTTCATGGTTGCACCCAGAAGAGTGACATAGTCTTTTACGAGTAGGAGGTGGTTGGCAGCATCCATGCGAGAGAACTGTTCCTCTAAGATAGATGTGACCTTAGAAATAGCTGTCCCCCACATTGTCTCAACCTGACTATCAGAAAGAAGCCCATCTGCAGTTCGAAGGACACGGTCCTCAACAATAAAGAACCCAGCTATCTGAGCAAGGAAGTGCTGATGAGACTCCATGAACGGTTGTGTCGTGGGAATTTGCAGGTCCAAATTAAGTTGCATAAGCCTGTTATTGTAGTAGTATTCTCGGAATTTTTCCCCAAGACCAAGGCATGTGTGAATGTAGTTTGCTCGGTATACTGGTGTAAGATCGAATTCCAGTACTTCCTCCTCACCTATGAGATCCAAATCCAAGGCATAAGCATGCTCGTCAAACCCAATACGGCTGCAGTCCTCTGCTTCCCTCTGTTGGGAATGTATTCCCTCATTTTTCTGACGAGCCAAGGATGCCTGGCTTATCGAAACCTTACCAATTTCCTTTGCTGTCCTTCTGATATACACCAGCCACTCATTAAACTCATTGCAAACTTTCTTCTCAATGTACAGCTTGACAATTGGTATTTGCTTCTGAACAGCCTTTTTTAGAAGCTTTAGAGGAATATTTTGCAGAAAATCCTTCTCAATCAACTCCAAACTTTTCAAAGCAGAATGAAGCCTGGCTTCTGCAATGTCCTTGTTGCACATCTGGCACAGACTGGTGACTTGCAAACAGATCTTCAACATCCCTAGGGCTTCCTCAACATTCTTATTCACTGAATACAACTCAAGAAGCTCATCAAGCTTCAACAGCAGGGAGCTAGCAACCTCTTGCAGGCGCAGGTTTTCGCCGGACAGCATACCCTTAAGCTCATCGGCGTCAACCAACACGCCGCGGAGCTCATCGACTGCAAGGATGAACTCCTCGTAGTGGACCCTACAGAGCTCCTCAATCTCAACCTCCTTCATTTTCACGATGCTCCTGAGGCCTTGCAGGAGGGACTCGGGCTTCCCGGACTCGAACGCGTGGCGGACGATAGGGCCCAGATCCTCGCCGTTGGCGATGAAGGCAGCAAGGCCCAAGCCAGCGCCACCGTTCCCGCTCTCCCCGCCACCCCTCTTCTTGGTCTGAGCAGTCATTGTTCAACTGCAAAACACACACACACAAAAAAAAAAATGGCATGCTGCACACAGTAAGACATGCGTCCACCTTAAGAAATCGGGTACCCCCTAAATTTAGAGTGCTACAAATGATTAGCATATGAAGAACGCAGTAATAATTAGTGAAAATTAATTAGCAAGCCAAGAAATTAGCACAAGCGTTGAAGTGTAAACCACCAAATTTGTTAAAATAAACCGACCTAACGTGGGGCGTGGGGGTTCAGCATTTTTTCAAAAAAAAAACTACTATTATACTAAGAAATACGGAAGAAACTGAATGGGTTAATTGGAGGCAAAGTAGTCAATCCAGGTCGGGATGGATTTCCAAATCCACGCCACGACGGCTCATGAAGCGGCGGGGAGGGAGGAAGGGAGAGAGTGCTACGGGAGAAGAACGAGTACCTTGGGGGTTCGATTCGAGCCGGGGATGGAGGCGAGTGGAATGAGGCCGGCCGCGTCGCGTCTCCGGACCTTGCTGCGCCGGCCGTGCGCGCGAGGAGGCCGCGCAGGGGTGGGGGAGAAGGGGAGGAGGAGGAGGCCGCACACGCCGTGTGCCTCAGGGGCAGCTCGCCGGCGGCGCGCGGCGGGGAGGGGGAGGAGGCGAGGCGGGGCTTGCGGGGGAGAATGCCGGCGGTGCCTCTGCCTCCGCCGGCGGAGAGAGAGAGAGAAGAGAGAGGGATGGAGAGTGGAGTGGAGGCGAGTGATGAGTGATGGGAGGAGAGAGAAGAAGGGGCAGGGGAGTCATTTCTCCATTTCCCCTCAATTTTTCTTAAACTAAAATTCCAAAGAACGATTTTTCTCCGAACTAAAATTCAAACTTCCTCTATCCCTTCAATACAAGAGATTTTAGCTATGCACCGTCTTTCTTTTGGCTTATGAGCCGTAGACAAAATTTAAAATTTTAAAAGTGATTTTAGAGTTAATTTAGAGATTTATTTTTTCGTAGTTTTTTTCGTGTGCTTTTAAATTAAAGGAAAAAATATGAATGGCCTCCTGAACTATAGTGGTCGATTGAATTACACCCCTAAACCACAAACCAGACATTCTTCACCTCCCAACTATATAAATCGGACAAATAACCCCCGGTTCAATTCGCGGTGGTTTTGATCCTCTCGCACGCCACGTAGGATCAAAACTACCGCGCACGTAGGATTAAAACCACCATGGATTGAGCCGGGGGGGTTATTTGTCCAGTTTGCATAGTTATAGATGAAGAATGTCTAGTTTTGTGATTTAAGGGTATAATTCGATCGACCGTGATAGTTTAGGGATAGTAAGGATATAAATATAAAAGCTCACTCATTAATCTTTTTCCTAATTAGCTGTAGTCCAATGGATTAAAGTGAATTTGAAACATAGGAATTTTCGCTAGAACCGGTTCGGCTGTTGGAGGAGCCGTGAGCGATTTCCTCGTTATTATGCTCCTAGGTTTTGACGACTTTGTTGTTGTTGTCGCCACGCCACATGTTGACGCCAGATCGACCCAGAATGAAACGGAAACACCGAGGTGACGATCCCATCCCAACGAGTGTGCGTACGTATCTGCCGTTGGAAGCATCGTGCAGCAAGGTGTCGTGTTCAGGTCACAAAGAAAATCATGGAGAAATATCAATGCACGAACAAAAGCGTCACTTTTTAATCAGCTTAACAAGGCACCTTCTAAGCACCTTTGCTGACCAGGTCACCAGAATAAGTCCAACTTCAAACCGCACCTTGTTTTAGGCCTATTTAAGCTTGTTGGTAGCTAAGCTTCTAAGAATAAAAAAAACTAGGTTTTTTAGCTTGTGACTTCTAGTTTATTTCCTAGATTCTACAACTATGGCTTCTTAAAATCTAAATCAAAAGCTAGATTGTTTGAATGAGTTTCTGATTTTGAAAGAAGCTGCAGCAAACATACCCTTACTAATACATCCTTGAATGCAAGCTGTTGCGACCAGGAGATCACAAAGCAGTAAAGTAGCATCAAAAGCAGGAACAAAAAGCTTAGTGTGTAGGACCACACCACGAATGAATGGGTTACAACTTGCAGTCACGATTTACATTCAGAACGGCACAGTGATATTATATAATATACCTCTGGATATCTGGAACTGGAAGCAAAATAGATGGATGCTTGATCCACGGATCACATGTACATAAACCAGTCAATAGTTCAGGAGAAGGTACTCAAGAAATTTGTTGTTTAATCAAAAAATTTCATGCGGCAATACTATCAACATCCTGAAGCATTTCTTTCTTTTTTTTGACCGGGACCTGAAGCATTTCTTTCAGTAACATGTTAGGCCAAAAAAATAAAAGGAACTTGAGCTGGTTTCTATAATAATGAACTTATAAACCATGCAATATACGAGATAGCTAGCCATTTGCTGTAACTCATCTCCGTTCTTCACTGGCTGCAATCGTGGGTTGGATTTCTCTGGTACTGCTCGAAATACCGATATCTGTCTGTTGTTTCCGCGGTTAGAAATCGACTGGTCAGACTGCAACACAAACTACATCATAGTTAGGTAGCTCATGGCAATAGAACTCAAACTAAATTCTCAGATAATTTTGGTGGAAATTTAGAAAGATTTATTTTAGTGGTCCTTTGTAATGTTTCAGAAGATGATGATTGTGGACCACAAACATCTCAAAAGAAAATCGCAAATATCAAAAGATATGTCTGGACAGTTTTGCCATTTGTCTCCAGGATGTATAATCCAATTCATGACTTGTTTAGGTGCTCATACAATGACCAACCGAAAATAATCATTCTAGTTGCACAACTGCCAAAGATGTTAATGAAGCAGATGGTGCAATAAACAGAAAAAAATCATCGTCAATTTAGCGATTGTTTCACAAAATTTATCATCCAAATTTCAAAAAGAAAAAACCCTTACTCCAAATGATTACCTCATTTATGCAGGGCAGGTGTATCTACTTCTGACTTGTGGCCTCATCTTTCATTTTGGCCTGAAGTTGAAAAGGCAAGAATAAACATAAGGAAACAAACTTTATGAACCAGGCAGTTCTACAGATGAGCCTATACTTTCAGTATTTCTGTACACTATGTAATATTTATATCAAGGAGTATGTAACTGTAAATTATGGGTTCATCAAACCTCATCCACAGCATCTCTCCGGACCTTCCTAGTCGGGCTTCTCATTGTGACAAGTTCTTCTGCAGTGGTTGGGTGGACACCTATGGTGGCATCAAAGTTTTGCTTCATCAACCCAGCCTTTACAGCAATTGCAATACCCTGTCATAGTAATGTACACCACAAATATATTAGGCAAACATGAACAAAATGATGGCTAAATATTAAATAAAGAACTCACAAACCTGAATAATCTCGGGTGCATCTTCACCACACACGTGCACTCCTAGAACTTTGTTAGTATTAGCACACACGATAACCTTCATGTATACACGATCAGGTAGACCAGAAAGAGTGGCCCTGAGAGGTCTGAAGTTTGATGTGTAGACATCAACATCTCCATACTTTTCGATCGCCTACAGAAGTGTATAGTTTACTTAAATTTCTCGTGTGTTTTTGCAAGTTAACAAGTTTGTAAGTTTACAATACCTTCTCTTCAGTGAGTCCAACTTGTCCAATTGGAGGTTGGGAAAACACCGCAGATGGCACAGCACTGTAAAAATGCATATCAAAGAGTTTAATACAACAGTTATGCCAAATTACAGTGTACATGATTCTACTATTGAATTATAATGTTAAATAGAGAACTTGACAAAAAAAAATCAGATTTGTTAGTCATTTTGAATTGTGAAGAAAGAAAGGGATGGGGCAGCGGATGTGTTTGAACTTATGCACTACTGCCACAAGAGATAATTAATGCATAATGTGCACAAAATGACAACTGTTTACAAGGTACACAATTTAGCATTTCTTGAATTCTTGTTAATGCTCACCAAGAACAATCAGTTTGTATACACAAATAAGGGAACATGAAGCATCAAAATCGCAAGGTTCAAGATCAATACAAATTTATATGGATGTTATATATATATGTATATACACACTAAAAATACATATACATGCATACCTGTAATCTGGTTTTGTAGGTTCATTGCCAAAAATAGTCCTTGCTAATGCCCCACCTTCCATTAATGCAACCGGTGTCAAGTTCACCCTGTTAGTAACATCACCCACAGCCCATATAGAATCAACTGAGGTTCGAGAGAACTCATCAACCTAGGATAACATATATAGACCAAGAATTTCAGTTATCACTTAATGATCATCTAATAATTGAGAAAATGTTAGATTATGTATAATGTATAGAATCATAATGTATAGAATCTATGTAGAATACACAGAACCTTGTTTAAATACACATACCACAATAGCACCATGCTTGTCCATTTTGACCCCAACCTCTTCTAGACCCAAATTCTACAAAGGTATGGATTGTATGAAGATGTGTATCCAGAAAATAAATGTATGCCCCCAAAACAAACTTGGTTGAGAAAAGTGGAAATGACTGGCATAATATTAACCTTTGTATTTGGTTTTCGTCCTGTTGCAAACATTACATGTGAGAACCCATTTATGCTTCCTTTGTTTGTCGTCAGAGTCAGCAAGCCATCGTCTGATTTCATTACTGCTTGAGGAGTCTCTTCGGTATGAAATGTGATACCCCTCAAAGACATCTGATCGGCAACAAAATCCCTGACCTACAAATCCACATGGAATGAGAAAATAACTCAAGGCATGACGCATTGACACACTTCAGTTCAAAAACGAAATTATTGTTCTAATGGATACTTGCTCACCTCCTCATCAAAGCCTCTCAGTACTTTCTTCTGTCGGATGAAAACATGAACACCACTTTTTAAGCCATTGAAAATGCCAGCAAACTCCAAAGCAATATACCCTCCTCCTACTATCGCAATCTTCTCAGGTCTTGAAGGCAGGTCCAATGCTGCATCTGAATCAATAACATGCTCTATCCCTGGAATGTCTGGCATGGATGGCCGACCACCAACTGCAATGAGTATGTTTTTTGCAGTATAAAGCTTTCCATCAACACTGACAGTATGTGGATCAACAACCTGCATAATATGAACAGGTAGTATATCAACACTGTCATTGCTGCATTGATCCTTTCAACAAAACTGTATATGCAAACTTAACCCAATTTACAAATTTGTCCCAACCTTTCCACGGCCTTCAATTATAGTGACCCCAGAATTCTTTAGCATGTTTGTCTGAACCCCCACCAAGCGCTGCAACTCTAAATTCTTGTTGGTCATCAGAGTGCTCCAGTCATGCTTTGGCTCAGTGCCATACCTCCACCCAAAGCCATGACTCTCTTCAAACTCATGAGAGTATTTGGATGCATACACCAGCAGTTTCTTTGGGACACAGCCACGAAGCACACATCTGAAGTATGGAAAAACTGAACATCTTACTTGCACATTTTTGCAATTGGATATGAAATGGAAGAAAGATGCTATCCGCACATTATAGATACTAAGCATTTCACTCTGCAGACGCTATAAGCAAATTACAGATATAGAAGGAAGCTGGAAACGCGTAAGGCTAACTGGTTGATAACAACCAGCCATCGTGACAGAGCTCTCTAACTTTTTTGTTACTTGCGTATATGGAGAGCCATTCATGTAAGTATGTAACCCTAATAGTAAATCTCATATCATCATCTCTACACATATATTGAACAACATTATAGTGAATACCACAAAAGCCTCTGAAATTAAGCATGAGCTCCAGGAATGGTGAATAAGAATCTGTTCTTATAGTCATAGAGTAGACTCCTAGTGGTCGTTGATCATAACAGAGCACTGGATCGTGCGTGAAATTGTTCAATCCTCTCCTCACTACTAAATCATAATCCTAAACAAACAATCAGAAGCAAACCATGCACACCATCCGAATTCCAAACAAACATTACCACTGAACAATGTGTGCGACTTGAACTAGGAAGAAGGGTGGCGAAGTTCACTCACGTTCCGCCGACGCCGCCGAGGCTGTCGGACGCGACGGTGGCGAAGGGCATCTCGCAGACGGCGGCGCGGGCGCCGTAGAGGGAGGCGGCGACGCGCGACGCCCGCATCCCGCCGCTCCCGGCGCCGATGGTGAAGAGGTCGTAGTCGTAGTCGCACCCACCCCCATCGCCGCCCGCAGCGGCCCCGTTATCCCCGGCGGAGGCGGAGGCGGAGAACGGGCGGCGCGGGCCGAGGCGGAGGAGCGGGCCCCGGCCCCGGGTGGCGGCAGCCGCAGCCGCGAGGGGGTGGCGGCGGAGGTGGAGGAAGCCCCCGCCGCCGCGGCGGGGGAAGGAGAGGACGCGGGATATGGTCTGGACCGCGGCGGCGGCGGAGGAGGAGGAGGAGGGGAGGGTCGCCGCCGTCGCCATGGCTGCTGCTCCGAGGCTTCCGCGGCGGCGCGGGGGCGCGTGACGAGACGAGACGAGACGAGGCGGAAATCAAATGCGTTGCTTCGAGGCGGGGCGCGTGGTGTGGCCGTGTGTGGGGCTAGCCAGGAGACAAAAGGCGAGGCTTTGTTGCTTCGGTGAGGCATGACGTGGCATCGGCGGGTATAGGTCATAGGTGGCGCTGGCGCATAGCCGCGGAGCCGCCTGAGCCTTGGGCCCTCGAGGTGCCATAAGATACGCTTTGTAAGTTTTAAAGCGTATTTTTGTAACTCCCTCCGTACCAAATTAGATGTCATTTTGACTCTGTAAATTAGGTGTCGTTTTAACTTTTTGCTTTCAATTTTCGATCATTCGTTTTATTTAAAAAATTAGTGTAAATATAAAGAAAGTCATACTTAAAATATTATTGATAATAAAGTAAGTCACAAATAAAATAAATAATAATTATATAATCTTCTAAACAAGATAATTGGTAATAAAAACTCAAAAATAAGTATTTTGGGACGGCGGTAATGGGCCGGATGGCCTGCAAACGTCTACTGTGTACCATCATTAGCTTAGTTTAGCTTTGTGCTAGGTGTGTACTATGTAGCCTAGAACGGCCCATTCCTAATAGACGTGGACAGATGGGGTATCATCATTTGGTGACCCATTTCAGTACTCCAACATGCGGGAAGAGAGGGATAGGTGGAACCGTGGATGTTCACTTAGGCCATTCACGGTGCATAACTGTATACATGTACCATTCAATCCTAACATTCCACGTCATGGATTCCATACCACATCTGCTACTCCCGTAACAAAGTGAAGTCCGGAGAGCCAAAGTTAGCCACGAGTTCCTCGTCAGATTTGTTAGAGTGTTGGGGAGGGAGGGGAATAGCTTGGGCTATGCATCCGGGGGAGGAACCGGGGGAAAGAGGGGAGACAGGAGTGGCACCGTCGTGGGGCTCGTCGCCGCCCCCGGCTCCGCAGGTCGCCGGCACTACCGTTGTTCCCCGCTCTTCCCCGATGCCACCATCACCACCACAGGGGAAAGAGGGGAGAGAGGAGCAGCGCTAGAGAGGGGAGAGGCCACCGACGGAGAGAGAGGTAGCGCCGCCACAGCTGCCCGCTACCCTCCAGCTCCACTCGACTCGACGCCTGAGATGGCTGCCGCGCTTTTCCTCGTCCTTACTCGATCCACCGCCACCAGAGAGGAGAGGGTAAGGCAAGGGGGGAGGGAAGAAGCCGCCGCCGGAGATGGGAGAAGCCGGCATGGCGAGAGGAGAGGGGCAGCCTCAACCGAGGAGGGGTGGATCTAGTCGCCCCTCTCTGGCACCGTCGCGCCGCCAACGCCGCCGCTGCTTCGGGGGAGGAGAGGAAGGGTGGATCTAGCCGCCCCGCCGCCGTTGTCGCCCTAGTGCCGGTGCCGCCCCAGTGCCACCTCGCCCGCCGTTTTCTGCGCGATGGGGAAAGGAGGAAGCTGTGCAATGGGGAAAGGAGGAAAGGAGAGAGAAAGGGAGATAAAAAGTGAAAAAAAGATACTAGTGGAACCCACTATAGGTAACTTGCATTGTAAAGTAGTATGTGGCTAATGCGGTTCTTCATCTAGGTGGCATGTGAAGTTCGCCAAAATCACAGGGCGCACTGCTACTGCCCTTACTAGGATGCCACATGTGGACCCCACATGTTTTGTTTTACTAGGATGTCACGTCAGTCAAGACAACCATCTATACTACCATAGGATCTTATTTAACCTGGTTGTAAAAGATGAAGGTTTAATATTTTCAGTATTACGATTTGAGGATGTAATTCAAACTCGATGTCAATATAAGATGTAAAGTGAACTTATTCCTCTATGCTTGGCCTTAACCCCACCCAAAGAAGAAAGACTGTTACCCAATTTGAATTTCTTGGTGCAACCAAGGACATCATTTTTTTTTCAATTTTGGTATATATATGTTGACAAATATTCTGGAGAAAATTTGTCAAATTTTGGGACATCAATTTTTTTCGATTTTGCTATATATATGTTGACAAATATTCTAGAGAAAAATTGTCAAATTTTGAGACATTAGATTTACTCTAAGATTCGGGTAAGATGGGGAAGGAAAAAAATCAGAGTGCACGCAGTTGAGGGACCACTTCATGCGAGCAACATGCTACCCCTTGCTAATGTTTTTTTTTTTTTAAAAAAGAAACAGTTACATACACGTTACTTCTTTTTGTTAAAAAAAAAGCTCAACCTAAGATATGATATGACATATTCTATGACAAGTAATCTAGACACACTCCTATCTGGACAATCTAGATTGGTTTTTTTAGATGGAGGGAGTATGTAGTTTACATGTAATTTATTATAATATAATAATACAATTATGTTATGATTATATTGTATTTGTGAAATTTTTATCGATAGATATATAGTTTCATATGTAAACAGGATAAAAATGATCACGGAAATTAATATGGATACCGAGCAGTTTAAATAATAGATATGATCAATTACAGATAGATCAAGCTTTGTTTCTAGAGATGCTATCGATTACAACCGTTTTCACCCCCAGTAAACCTTACTACGTTTTCTACTGCTAAAATTGATCCACACGCAAGGGCAGTAGGATCTAAACCAACATCATCACTATACTTCTAACGGATTTAAGTGCTTCTCCAGCTAAGGACATCATCTGATGGAGCAACCATGCCAAACTCACCGTGACAACCGACGAGGCACCAGTCACAACTCACAAGGTAGTATATCATGCAAAGCAACAGAGCAATCTGCCGGTGAAACGGCATACAAGAAACACGTAGGAGTCCACATATCCTGTCAGGTGTCAGGTTACAAAAATTCCAGTGCCGTCCTTTTCGCCAGTGGCAGAGCAAGTGAATCAGATCTTATTACTACTAGAGCAGTGCAGGTGACAGTATGGATGGACCTTTGCAGCAAAGACAAGCAGAACAGACGCAGGCAGGAGGCCGAGATTGAGACGAGATCCATGGCAAAAGTGAGAAACCCAACTAGTGGGAAACAAGATGCATTGTGTAGTACAGTGGTACTTAGCCTGTAAGGCTGTAACAACTCCATGGGGCAACCCTGTGGAATATGAAAATAATAGAGACTGTAACTACCCCATGTCTCCATTGTGCAACCCTGAGTCAAATATTACTCTAAAATATAGGCAAAATAATGCCTGGAATGGATGGAACAACACAATGGTGCCAAATGATGTTAGGAAGGGATGAATAATAAGGCCACTTTATCCAGCAATTCCAGTTTATAAACAGCACTATGGCCACCGAAAGAGGCTATAGTGCCCCCATCTCAAGGGCAATATCAAAAATTGGCAGGCACGAGGTGTCACATGGGGATCAGATCAGCAAATCAATTAGCACTTCAAGTACAGTTCATTCGGCAAATACTGCAACCTTGCAATCACAATGCAATGCACCATCCAAAACAAAAGGCACAGCAAAACCAAGCCGGTTAATGGAGGCGAAAATAGGATGGTCCTATGAGGTGAGAAACTATATGCTAAATATATATAGTTAGGTATCACCAGTGCTATCCCATGAAGGAAAAAAACACCGATGAGTTCAACCGCGTTTGGCAGGAGAACGGTTTGCAGGAGTGGTCGATGGGCACGTGCAGAACAAGGAACCCCTCTTACGAGGGTTTACCGAGCTGGGGCTTGGGTTGGGAGGGCATAGATGGGCAATTCATGGTGGTGAGGCCTGGGAGGCTCGCAGTGTAGTTAAGGATCCACCACATCTTTGCAACAAGAGGGCCTCTAGTTTGCCTTTCACTACAATAGCCAACCTTGATTCCACCCACCAATGGCAATGCATTGCCCTGCAATAACAGAATGCGACAATGTCAAACCTTGCAGAGAGATTGCAACAAATTCAAGTACCAAAGTGAAAAAAACATTTATCATGATAAATATGCATAATGAAGTTGACTGTGACAAGCAAAGAAATAGTAGCATCTCTTGAAGAAAAAATAATAGTGATCTGGTGTCATCATCTAGGCAGTAACTCTAGGATTATATAAGCATATCCAAGATCAATTTGGATAAACATGTAGGGACCAGTAGACACTATTGGTTGGCGTCCAAGATAAACAAACTATGACAGAGATCTGGAGGCCTCTTCTGCTGGCAGAAAGGAGGAAACAGTCAAAAAAGGCTATGTATTAGGTTGGACTGCAGGACAACCTATTAGGAAAATGTCTTGTATCCAATGCAAATAACCAAATGCACTAAAACAACTAATAACATGTGCAAGTGCCAGCCAAGTTTGACAGTACAGAGAATTCCTGGCTACTGTTGCAATGCTCTACAATGTCTATATATATGGCATCAACCTCAGGCTAAGTACTGGGGAGAAAGGTACAGCCCTGCTCCTTCTCTTTTACCTTTGCCTCAACAAGCTCATCACATGTTATCAAAATGTTGATATACAAGTACCGATCTAAGGTTGTACCATAGAAGATCAGCACGCTGTCAATCAGGTTAGTGTATCAAATGCAATTGCATATTGTTGCTCACATTGCAATGGTAAGATTCATGTATATCATGGATCCTTGCTTTAGATCAATACAGATTATCTGCTATTTTTAGTTATTTCCGTGATATCAAAAATTGAACAATGTTGTCTGATCATCCGATTAATCGTGATTAATCATCCTGATCGCTCCCCTACCTCCGATCAGGCACAGGTAAGTCGATCAGCCGATCAGAAAGCTGATCGTCCGATTAATCGACGATTAGTCACGATTAATCGTCTTATCAGGGTGGAAAACGATCAGTTCATGGGCTGCCTCCCTGAGAAAAATATAATTTTGGGCCTGCCAGCCCAGCCCATGTTCCATTTTGGGCAGATGATGGGCAGCAAATGATGCTTCTTCTTCTTTGACCAAATGATGCTTGCTTTTTACCGTATACTACAGACTATAGAGTATTTAGTACATAATATATAGCATATATGGCCTGCTGAACACTCCTATATACTAACCGATCAGCCTCGATTAATCGCCCTGATTGTCCTGATTGGTGCCTAGGCGATAGGGCTGATCGCCCAATGAGAGAACATTGAAATTGAACAATGGAAGTGGAAATGCAATGCAAGGAAAAAGATCACCCCAGGCACGGCGGTAATAACTGCTCAAGAGCACATATAAATTAACAATGAATCTACTATATTAGTATAACCACAATAGTTGCATGAACCAATCATAAAACAAAATCATGATCAGCCATTGCATCCGTTCTTTTTGTTGTAATAGTGATATGGCTCTAGTAGGAAGATTGGACTTTAAGGGTTATGTAAGATCTCCAACACATATCAATTTATATCAGTTTTAGCTGTTTGCATTCTTAACAGATATTGGAGCTTGAAGCTGGAGGTCAAGATCAGACGAAAAACAAGGGGGCAACTAATGGAGGCATGTAGATTAATAAACCCTACATTTACGTAGGATGCATACAATTAATAAAAATTCTCAGATCATCTGCACACAAAATTGGAGTAAATCAAATTGGTCTATTGATTGTTTCTATCTTTTATGTTAGTGGGACTAGTAAACATATGAAAGGAACTTAAACACGAAATGTGACAGTCAAATCTCAAAATGTTGACTATCATGAGTGCACTCGATTGCTTTGTTAGAGCTTACAATTACACTGTTAAGTTCTGCAGTACTTCTGCAGTAAATGAGTAAATGTCTTGGCATTTGGTAATAGAAGAACATTGACTTACTAACTTTATCGTGTCTAGCATGAAATAACCTTGAAAATGAGCAGGCAATAAGCATACTATTGCTTGTAGTTGATAAAGAAGTCATAAACTTATGCATAGGCTAATGCCATCTATTTTGCAAAGAAATAACACAGTTGCTTGCTATAAAGAAGTTATAAACTTGTGCCTAGAATAGAACATGTGTAGACAGATTATCATACGAAGTTCTGGAAAAGGTTTACTAACTTATGATTAAAGATTCCGTAAACAGATAGAGCTAAGATGGCGCAGAATCTTCTTTCAGGAAATTGGTCAAAGCATTAACATGAGTATACACCATCAGTACATGAGAGAAGTGAACTGTACTACTCCCTCCGTTCCAAAATATAAGGATTTCTAGGATTCAAATCTTGTACCACAATACAAGGATCCCTGCACTAATTCCCATCATTTCAATGATTCCAAAGCATTGCCAATCACATGCTTGGAAAGGGAATCTAAGCAATTCAAAATTCAAAAATTGACAACTGAAATGACTAAAAAGGTTTCTTTTGACCTAATCTTAGCATTTGCCAACCCAGAAACCCTTACATTTTGGAACGGAGGGAGTAAAATTTTGATCTGACATCTTTATTTTCAGAAGCTTATATTGGTTTGCATTGCGGAATACCTATACTCATATCAGAATTAAGAATACACATGATAGTAATATAGTATGCCCAGTAACATTTGAGAGGCAAAAATCATGAAATTAATGCCAACTGAGTGACTGACCAAGCAAGTCCTAGAATTGAAGTAAAAGCTGGCCTGACCAGCAAGATGGACATAAGAAATGCAAGGGAATCACTTCAAGCTTCACCTACTCATGATGTCCTCCAAACAAGGCAGGGAGGCATCATTCCTCAACCATTTATGCATTGGAATCCTATTCAGCTTTACCTGCTGAAATTAACAACTAGCAGCATCTGCAATCATGGTTGCTAAATGCTAGTAGGAAAATCATCCAAATGTAAAGGGCAACTAAGCTCACTGCTAGACATAAACAGGAAGCAGCTTTCGTCCTGTGAATTGCCTTTTCACCAGAAGAAAGAAGAAAGTTGTTTCTATTATCCAGATAGATACTCAAAATATCCTAATTCCTAAATTTACCATAAGTATTAGTGAGCTGTCTGTTTCAATAGCAAGAACACTGAACTTCAGAGATAGCTGCCTTATTTAGCATATGTTCTGCCCTTTTTCATTCTTACGATCAGATTCAAGATTATTAAATTAAAATCAGAGGTCTGCAATGTATTTTGTAGCTTTAGGCTTTTTTGGAACTTACCTGAGCTGTCAGAATTACAAACATAACACTATAAAATGGAACAACCAAAGAAAAGAAACATGCATGCTAAAACATCATGAAACTCCACTACCCAACTCCAATGTGAAATGTAAAAATGCTACTATATGCCTATATCCTAACAATTCACAGATACCACTAGCTAAAACATATTTTCCAGAGGTGGTTTGTTATGAATACCTTTGCTGGTCCAAGAGCAGCGATGGATTCCTCCCATGACACTATATTTGATATACATGTGGCAAACATAGCTAGAAACTGCAAAAGTGAATGGAAAACTCTGTAAATTATGATAAGATGTAGAGAACCGAACTCAAAATAAATTATCTTCTAGCTTCTGAGAGAAAAACCAATGTTCAGAGATTCTGTCTGAAAGTGAGGATAGAAACATGAACTCACTAACAAAGATACTACGGAAAAGGATGGCCAGGAAAGCTAAGTGCAAGCAATCATACTGAGTTGATAATAGGAATCTGATATCAAACAATATCTGATACACGAGACACTACACAAGGTACTGCCACTATACACATAACTTCCATGACCATGCAGAGGTCAAGTCTCCCAAGGATCTGAAACCAATCCTTATATAGGAAGACAACCAGGCTTCATGATCTACTAGTAGCTTGTACAGCCCCACCACTATGAAACAATGACGCAACCGATCTTGCTAGTGGAGTTGGTTGTCGTATGCATTTAATTTGGACCTATACAAAGAAATGGATCTTGCATTGCTTAACAATTAAACACCCTGTTTTTAAGTAAAAATTACTACCAAATGGAGTTAGAGTGAACTTGTCAGTCATGATGACTAATGCAAGACTACGATGACGAAGAACTCCGATGAGAACACATGCAGGTCAATACAAAGCAGGTGAAAGTTGTTGAGGCGGTAGGTGTGTGTTGATCAAATCATATGGTAATTGAAACTGACATAATTTGCAATTTGGAGCATGTTTTCAATTGTTAGCATATAGGAGTAGAACAACTCAAAGCAAAGAAACTATAATGAATAAAAAAAACTAATGATTTGATGCCATGACATAAGCTGCAACAAGCGTAGCTGTCTAGCACACACTCTCTGCAAAATATACTAACTAACAACTATTGATGAAAGAGATTTGTGTTTGAACATCTGTATAGTATTGTGGGATTCAAGACATATTACATATGTTAGTTTTTTTTACATGATGATAGAGATATTGTAGAGATTTTTTTTTGTGAGCATTTGAAATTTGAACACAGATCAAAGAAACAATCCAAAATGAGTGCACAGCTTATGTGGTCTAGAGAAATTAGTTAGAAGTGCAATGTGTAAACAAAATTTAATGCCCATCGATGTTTCTATGTATGACATGAAGGTGTGATTGAACTAAATTTCTCATGATTTATGGTAGTTGGATACAATGTGAACCATCTACATTCAGAATTCAGTGAACAGGGAATCATGGCTGAAAAGAAAAAAAAAGGCATAATACATATAGTGTAATTAGCAAAAGATTAGGACAAATCGAGTCCATGACATTACATTACAATACAGCATAACCAGTCAATCCATGTGTTGCACAAATCCAAGAAAGATGACTAAGACTACCACAGTTCAGGGAGAATCGGAACCTTGCTCGGCAAAGGTCCAATATATTTAATTTTTCCCAATCTTTCATGGACCCCAATATCACAACTAAAGTTGATTCATTTACCTAATCCCCAAAGCTGGGTGACAAATGAAAATCAGTGTTGATGTGCTTTTGAATAAAGCAACACTTTTATATAAGAAATTTCTGGATAATTATGAAATGGCAAGCATTTGGTAGCCATATTTTCGATGACATGTTAGGCTTTTAGAGAGTAAACATATTCAAGAACAAATTCATATTTCAGTAACACGACCTTTACAAAGTAAATACAAGTTGATCATTTCCAGGTAATAAGACCCCTTGCAAACTTGCTCATGATCCTGATAGAAGTTTCATACAGTGGTTGTTTTGTAAGCTATGGATTTGTGTCAAAATAGGGGGGGAAATATAGGGAATACATCCATAAATTACACTTCAATAGGCATATGTACCGTTTATCTGGCTATCCTAAACCAGATCTGTTACTAAGGTGTAACACATTTTCCCCAATTTGTCATCCCAACCAACCACAAATCCTGAACGCAGACTCATTGCACTGTAACAAGGTCCTAAAACAAAATCTCATTGATAATGTGAACCACACATGACAAAACTCCTTAATTAGCACCGGAAGGCCCAAGGGTTTGCTTAATCCATATTGATCCATGGGCTATTGCTAGAGAACAAACATTGCTACCGAAGAACGCATCAAAAGCACAATCAAGAATAGACGCCATCAACCCATTTGCTATGACTCATGAGAGCAACCACGGCCCAGCCTGAGTCATCCACCACACCACAGCAACAATTGGGTGTGTTTGGTTGCTTGCATTTTCCTAGCCTGGCTCATCTCTTTCATCCTGGTTGAGTCTAGCCCAGATGAAGAGATACACATGCAACTGTTTTGGTTGTTTGCATCGGTTTAGCCCGGCTGAGATGAGATTTTGTTTGGTTGAGTGCATGAGAGATGCGGTTTGGAAAATATTTTGTTTGGTTGGTTGGATAGATTTGAGTCTGGTTACCTCTTCATTTAATTGGGTGAGGTTACCTCTATAATATCCCATACAAAAATTTCAAATCTAGACAATAGGTATAAACAATTTTTCACATACAAAGAATAATATTGGTATTAAAAATCAGCCAGCATTCTTTGCACCAAAGCGAAATTTGTTGAGTTCTCAAAAAAAAAAAGTCACCAAAATTTCCCCACCATTTGACTGCAAAGCGCTGGAAAAAAAAAGAAAAGAAAGATAGAAGCGTTTGTCCTCCTCATTGTCGTCGAGGAGAGGAGTTCTTGCCTCATCGCTGCCAGCCGTTCCCGGCTCCTCTGCCGCCGGCCGGCCAGTACCACGCTCCTCCGTCGCTGGCCTCTCATACGGATCTGCCACGCGCGCTCCTCCGCTCTTCTCTCAATTGAAAATAGAAAAGAGAAAACAAAAAAAAATCCCCTCAATCTCATCGTTGACTTGCTTCACCGGCGCTCCCAGCTGCTCCTAGCTGCTCAACGCCACCATGGTCGCCGGATCTGGTGGCCTGGCGGTCGGAGAAGGCGATTGTGGCGACAGAAAAGAGAGGCGGCGCCGGCAATGGCGAGGAAGCCGGCGATGGAGATGGCAAGGGATGTAATAGCGGCTGCAGCTTCTCCACCGGGGTCGGCCGAGGGAGCTCGAGGTCGGCCGCCAGTCCACCATCGGAGAAGACGCCGAACGAGTGGTGGTGACCGTAGGGGATTTGGTGGAGGCGGCGGCGGCAAGGGAGAGAGGGAAGAGGAGAGCAGTTGAGAATGGGAAGATGAAAATGAGAGGGAGGAGGTGAGCGGACGCCAGACCCCTGCCACGCGCGTGCACCCACTGATGCAACGCTTGCATCCACCTTGCATCGAGTGAGCCAGGCTGAGGAGCGAAGAAAGCCATCCGGCCTTCCATTCAACCCAGACGCCATAGGGCCAATGCATCCAGCAAAACGTTGCCTCGATCCCCAGAAACTAGGCCCCAAGACGGAGGAACACCCCCCAACATACATACATACATCGAAATTCCTAAATCCATCTCTCCTAAACTTTATAGCCACACCTTCCGAGCAGGCGGGGAGGGGAAACCTAGCCCCACCACGCCCCTCGGCTTGCGGTATACGGGGGGAGGAAGAGAGAGAGGCGCGCGCGAGGGAGGGGAAGGGGAAGGGAAACCGTGGGTGCGCGGGCTCTGCTGCTCCGGGTTTCCCGCGCGAAATCGGCGGCGCGAGTTTACTCTTTTGCCCCTGACTCACTACCCCCAACCCGAAACGGGACGAAACGGACACTGCTCTCCTCACTCACCTTGGGGGGCGCGGACGGCGGAGAGCGGCGCCTCCTCCTCCGATCCGTCGCCGGCGGAGTGAGAGGCGGCGGGATTGGAGATTTTGGCGAGGAGAGGCGATTTGTGGGGAGAAGCGGGGGTGGCGACTGGCGAGGTGATGACGGGGGCAGTGTCGCAGTGAGGAGCAGAAGCAAGCAATGTAGGTTAGTCAGCTCGACGTGCCACGTGGGGTCTCCTATTCGTTAAGAGGAGTATACTAGTACCGATTTGCAATACGCTAGAAAATTACCTATATTATACAATACTACCTCCGTCCCAAAATGTAACAACTTTTGCTATGAATATGGATATATAGTTGTTCAAATTCATAGCTAAAAATGCTTATATTTTAGGACAGAGAGAGTATATATTAAGGATGGAAAACGAAACCGCTTTGCCATATTTGGTTTTTATTTTCTACTAATATTTTTTTATAGGATTAGTTTCAGAAAAGAAGCACAGGATAGAGTGGAGGACGACTCGTATTTTAAAGCGAGATTGCTAATATGCACTCAGACGTGTGATGACAAAGGCGTGCGTCGTGTGTGGCTGATGCCACGTGGTGTGCAGGAGAGGCCAAGGGTGAGGACACGTCATAGCTTTTTTATATATGTACGTATTTTTATCCGTTAAAAGTGTATGTGTATACATATGTATAAATTTTATATACGTGTATACAAAGTTTTTATTACTTATATAGGATAAGTAGTAGACTAGAGGGGGTGTGCATCGCTAGGGGGAGGCACGCGCACAGGCACCAATTAGGGCTCCCTTTTAAAGTACTCCCTCTATAAAAAAAATCTAGTTTTAGGTTTAAATCTGAATACACATATCCAAATTTAAATCTAGAGTTAGTTTTTTTAAGAGAGGGGTAGCAGAGAGAACACATCGACACTGTTAGGCTAGTTTAATGCATGCGTTAGATGTAGCGTAACATAAGTTATAAGTTGTTTGATTTATTGGTATTTTAATATTTTGATAATACTAAAATTACTATGAAAAAATTGGCGAGATGTGGTTGTTTGATTTGGTTACAAATCTTTGTAGGTATTTGGGACTTTTTTTTTAGACTCCTTTGAATCACTGGAATGAAAAAACGGAGAAATAAAAAAAACATAGGATTCTGATTAGAACGTAAGTGTAAAACAGATGATTGCAAAACATAGGAAAATATATAGGAATGACTGTTTAATTGGGCCGCATAAAAAACACATAAATTTAAGGAGAGATAAAGATTCAAAGGATTCTTTTCATGAGATTCTATCCCAACCTCATGTTAAATTTTCTTCAAAACTTGTATGAGAAGAGTCATTTCATAGGAATTTCATAAAATTCATTCCTTCGATTCAAAAGACCATATAGGAAAAATTTCTATAGGAATGAAATCCTCTAAAATTTCTATGAATTTCTTTTGATTCAAAGAGAGCCTTAAAAAAATGGCAATGACATTTTTTTGTTAGCAAAACAAATGCTATCCAACTCTATTAGCATTATGTTTTTCTTTCCTGCAAGTTTTGGCATCAAACATGCTTATAGACCTGCTCTTAATTTGGACAAGGAATTAGACTAACTTTCTTTTAGAATCGGATGGTTTAATTTTGAAAGAAAAGCGAGGTTAATTGGAACAATGCTAAATTGAGCCAACCAGAATGAGCTTTCCTTCGAAGTTTGAAATCATGAGCGTTGCACTACTGGTAGTTCCAAGTTCTGTAGATAAATTTAGATAAACCGAGATTTAATTCTTAGAGCATCGATCTGCAATCTACCCATACAAAAGGAATCAAATGCTTTATACGCACGTGTGATCAAGATTGTCAGTGTCACGAACATATCATATGCTCCCTCCGTTTTAAAATGTTTGACACCGTTGATCTTTTTAATACATGTTTGACCATTCGTCTTATTCAAAAAATTTAAGTAATTATTTATTCTTTTCATATCATTTAATTTATTGTTAAATATACTTTCATGTACACATATAGTTTTACATATTTCACAATTTTTTTTAATAAGACGAACGGTCGAACATGTGCTAAAAAGTCAACGGTGTCAAACATTTTGAAACGGAGGGAGTAGTATTGTATGATCATAGTATCATAGCAATCCTGGCTAAATGATATGCGTTGAACTACAAATCATTTTTAGGCAGGATTGCCGCTGTCGATGTTTGATGTCGCAATTCTGGTATTTGTATAGTATAGGGATCGTCGGTGCTAGGATATACGCGAGACTGAGGTAAAAGAGATGGAGACAGGGATTTTTATACAGGTTTGGGCCCCTGAGTTGTCAGGTAATAACCCTACATCCTGTTGGCCGGAGCCGGAGTTGCTTTTATTCACCATAATCACACCAGTACAATATGTGGGGTAGCCTATCTAACTATCGTCGACATGGCGGTCTGAAGGTCTGACTCGTAGTCGACGTCGACGACAAGGTAGTCTTCCTCCTCGAATCCGTGCCCAGCGAGATCAGAGATAGCGCTTTCGTCTCTCCTGACAGTATCCGGAGACACCGTAGGGGACTAGCCGTGCCTATCCCTGAAGTCGATATCCGGCGTCTTGTCTTGGCGTATGTTGGCTTGTATGTTGTCCCGTGTATTGTGTCTCCTCTCCTCCTATGGGCCTTGTATTTATACCCATAGGTGTCCCCTTGTCCAAGTAGAACTAGGGAAACCAATATGGATACAATCCGAGTAGTTCTTGTCATTTCTATATAGAACTCTGGTTGTCTTTCCTTATCCGGAACTCCCTCCATATCTGAAGTCAGTTTCCGTATAAGACATGGTATGTGGTGGGTCCTGCCGAGATGTAGTCGACTACTATTAGGTATGTGGTATCCATAACCCTAACAGTAGCCCCCGACTTCAATGCAAATGAACGAATTCATATTCTCAACCGTAGACCCTGGAGTAACTGTTGTCGTGCTCATGTGACCGTTCTCGGCGAGTTCAGAGATAACGTTAGACTTCCCTTATCAGCCTCGTGCGGGCACCTATAGGGTTTGTCTGAGTCAATCTCCGATGTCAACCAAGGAAGTACGGAGTAGACGACTAAGTCTCCCGTCTTGCCGTAATCGAGAATTTGGATTGAAATCAAGAAATTCTATCTCGGCTGGTACACCATCTCTTTATTTCGTATTCCTTGTCGAGATCCAGCAACCATTCTCGAGCGATCGAGAAGGTGTAGAGTCTGCGACGGAGCCTTGTCGACATTTGTCGTACTCGCCTTAGTCGATCTTGGTGTAGAACCATAGAGACATGGAGTCTTCGTCAATGTCGAATAGAATTTTCCTGAAATCAATACTCAGAAGAGAATATCAAATAGAAATAGCCCCCGAGCGAACGCTCAAAGAGTGACATGTTATAATATATATGGAAAACTAAAAATGAATTAAATTTACCGACCAATGTTTTGTGTATGAGCTTCTTCTCTCTTACCGACTTTGATCAGTCAGTTTGTAGAGTCATACACTCTCCCTAGACCCTAGCCTTGTCGTTGGAGAATCGTTCTCGGAGGAGAAGGCTCTTGGACCCTTGACCTGCCTTGGTTGAACAAGCACTGATCCTAGCCCCCAGCCGTGAAGTTGGAAAACTCAATTTCCGATTACATGACTTGGTTAATACGCACGGCGAGAACTCTTACATGACCAGATCTTACATGGTCTTTTGTCTCTACAGGATCCGACAAGGCCTTATCGGCTCTGGGCGTCCCCAGCCGAAGTTCCCTTAGGTTCCTCGGAGGCCTTGTCAAGATGGCGTAAAGGGACAGTAGGATAGGTTTCAACGCTAGGTGTCGTCGTGGTAAGGAATCTCTGGGTAAAACACTTGGCGATAGTGTGTACCTGATACCAACTTTGTTGGAGTAGAGGTAGTAGGAGAATCGCTACACCGCTGGTCGAGGACCAGGTAGTAGTCGTAACTCGACCACTTGAAGTAAAGGTAGTGGGAGAATCGCTACACCACTGGTCGAGGACCAGGTAGTAGTCGTAACTCGACCACTGGAAGCAAATGTACGAGAGATCACTACGATCAACTGGTTGAGAACCAGTGAGTAGGTGTCTCTCGATCATTTGGAGTCGTGGTACGAGGACCGCTACGCTGCCGGTCGAAGACTAGTTGTAGCTGTTCCTCAACCATCTAAAGTCATGGTGCGAGGACCGCTACGCTGCCGTAGTCATACCTCGACCATCTGAAGTTAAGGTGCGAGAGATTACTACGTACTGGTTCGAGAACCAGCGAGCGAGTAGAATTATCTCTCGAACACCAATGGAAGTTGCGGTGCGAGAGATTGCTATGTACTGGTGCGAGAACCAGCGAGCGAGTAGAATTATCTCTCGAGCACCAATGGAAGTTGCAGTGTGAGAGATTGCTACGTACTGGTGTGAGAACCAGCGAACGTGTAGAATTATCTCTCGAACACCAATGGAAGTCGTGGTGTGAGAGATTGCTACGTACTGGTGTGAGAACCAGCGAACGTGTAGAATTATCTCTCGAACACCAATAGAAGTTGTGGTGTGAGAGATTGCTACATACTGGTGTGAGAACCAGCGAACGTGTAGAATTATCTCTCGAACACCAATGAAAGTGCTAGAGTTGGTTTATTACATGTGTATCTCATGTGGCCAGCATGACTCACATACCCAACTTATAGCATATCCGGATATCCGTTCGCAATCATGTCGGGTGATCAAGCCGACGGCGTTCGTGAGGAATTATCCGTTAACAACCTTTTCTTGAGTAGTCC